ACGATATTTTCCTACTTCCTTCCTCTACGGCTCGCCTGCAACTATCTTAACCATGCTCACCATGACAAGGTTGCCGTCCGACTCCTTCCTGCCGTCGAGCGCTATGCTTGATCCAAATCCACGTCCTATGTCCTTCGCCTCTCATCTTAATGGTCACTCTTCAGCATCAGTAATTTCTCCGCTATCTCTACCGCGCGCTTTGAATAATCTATCTTGCTTGGATGAGTCAAACCTTGTAAACTTACCGTCTCTCGACCATACACATTCGCCATCAATTCCCGTAATTGCGCAGTCTCAGCAGCAGTATCTTTCTCCACGCCCAAGTTCCCCGAACAGTCATCGAATCAGGTCTGCTGCAACATCTCCGTATTTGGCACCTAGCATTACCTCCTCACTTGGCAATATGAGCAACCAAGCTCTACTCAACCTGCTACAGCGCAGGGAAGAGCAGAATAGAAAATTGATTGAGAATTGGCGTGCCGAGCGTGCTCATCTGGAGGCTAGTCGCACTCGAGCTGAGGAAATGTATCAGGAAGAACGGGCGATAATTGACGAGGAACGAATGATATGGATCGAGGAGAAGAGTAACCTCCAGAGAGATTTGTCCGAATGGAAAAAGAGGACAGAAGTAGCCGAAAAGCAGAGGGACGAGATGGTTAACTTGCTTAGGAGCATGAAGACCCAAGGCGGTCGATCAAAGATACCATTTGATGGTGCTGCTGAGCCTACCATAGGCTCTCTCAGAGGCGGTGGTCTTAGTAGCGCCGAGACACATTCGCAGTCAAGTATCAATTTTTGGAGCCCATCAGACGGCACATCTCCTAAAAGAGTCTTGCCTGGCGAGCTTCACGTCAGCGAGTATCACGGATCGACGACGATGCCAGAGTCGAAACCTTTTATTCCCTTGGATCCACGTATGCAGGGCTTATCGTCAGGAGTGAGTTCACCAGTGTCCCAGCAAGATCGTGTTCCCTGTATCGATATACAGGAGGTCATTCCCGGACTGGAAGGAATCCGAGTCAGGCCGGATATTGTCCAGAAGGCGACATTTACCGATGATAAGCCATCAGAATCATCTCCCGAGCCGATCTTGTTCCCTGCCCCTGAAGCTAAGCAGGAATTAATTCGTACACGTGTTGTGCCAGCTGAGTTGACAAAAGAGGCGCTTCAGGCCCCTGAGTCCGATAGACTTACCATGCATGCTGGGCACACACCGAACCACTCCATCTCCTTATCTAGGCTCCATACCGTTGAGACTACTGAGGTAGTCAACACAGCTGACAGTTCTGGTTCATCAACCCCCAAGTGCTGTGATGAGCAGGATAATCAGGTTCAAGTGCTCGAGAAAGTCACTAACTGTCAGACATCATGTTGCGGCTTGGGATGCCCTAAAGCCGCCGAGGCCCAGGACCAACTCGAGGATGAAAGAGACAAAGATCCGGAATTAAAGGGGCCATTAACCCTTCGAAACCTTCCAGCAGCTGACGAACCATTTCTCAAGGCTCTTAATGACAAGCTTGCCGATGTTATCACTCACGATATGACTCCTACTGTCCTTAAGCATGGAAGTTACTTTAAACCAGCTACATCTGAGCCAGTTATCGAGGCCGATGATGACGGTGCACACGATGCTCGTGAAGAATTAGAAGAGCAGGAGCCAGAGATCCCGCTAAAGTTAAAGCAATCGAGTAACTTTGGCGCACCTCTCGGGCAGCTCCGAAAACCAGTATCGTAGTAGATGCGCTCCGGTAGTTATTGCCACTAACGTGACTGGCGCATACAATACCGTCATCTTTGTTATTTTTACTCGACGGGGAGATTTTTGCACAGCTAGCGAAGGCTGTTTGTCTAGTTTTGAGCATACCCACATCGAGCTCTATAAATTTCCTTTTTCCTATGACCTTTGAAATACCCCAATACCCATGATTTTCTCCCTTTTCTCTTCTGCGCATGGGAACTTACGGGCCGGCTTATGTTATGGCTGAAAGGCGACGAAATTGGCATTGAAAAGGTTGCATGAAGGGACGGGATTATCCCTGAATTCTACGGATCAGCGTTTTTTTGACTTGTGTTGTTGTGGTGTGGTTTCTCTGCTTCAGGAAGCATATAGAAATACGGTGATCGGTCGGTTTTGATTGGCATTTGGGCTGAGAAGATAAAATCGTGGCAGACTGGATGTTGCACGTTGCACATTGCACATTGCACATCGCACATTGCACTTTAGACCTTTTATACCTTGGGCGGGGACCCCCTTACCTTCAACAAGAGAGGCGACGAGAAACGGTGAAGAAAATAAAGTACTTTAATGAAATAGGTCTGTTACCTAGTGAGCAGAGGCAAGATTATACGTTTTAGGACCGGGCAACTGGTTTATTGAGTCTAATACAGATGTTGGCATTTTCTCGTGTACCTATTTACCATGTACATATCTTCACTCCGTGCTACGTACATGTCTAGACTAAGCTGGTCTTTGGCCCGTATTGGCCGTCTGTAGGTACTCAAATGCCGGCTTGCGATGTGTAGTACAATCTGAGGGGCTACATGATCGGTATCGTATAAGATTGACTGAATGAAATATCCTGAGTGGCGAATGGTCTTAGAAATAGAATACTGTATGAATTACGTGCTAAAGTATGCAGGTATACAAAACCAGCCGTCTATCATGATTGAGCATTAATAACAGGTACACATTTTGCTTCGGTTCCCTGCTTTCGAGCGCGTCCTGAAGTTCTAAATCGTCTGCCGCACCGTCAAACGCCAAACATGCCCTCCCCGCCTGGGAACGGGTTTCATTTTTGTCGTCGTAACGTTTTCTCTTGTAATCTCGTGCCCCTCCTTTTGTACCGTACATCGGGAGTGTTATTACGGTCATTGCAATTGTATTTGAATGTATGCATACCCAGGTAGGTACCTAAGGTAGATAGATAGATAGGTAGGTATATTTGCTCAGCTCAGCTCAGCTTCTTGCCCATGAATCCGGCTAGCTCGTCGAGCAGCTCGACGGTCTCGGCGGGACTTGCGATCCAGGCGGTGGTGGAGACGCTGCGGGCCTTGAAGTCGTTGCTACCGGCGCTGAGGAACTGATCGCCGACGTGTAGCGTTTGTTCGGGGCGGATGCGCGTGCGCGCACCGTCGCCCCCGAACCACTGCTGGCACACGGAGACGCCCCAGCTCTTATCGCCGATGTCGACGAAGACGTCCCGCCCACCGTTAAACGCGCAGAACGGCACTACTTTGTTGTCGAAGTCGCGCCCGCCTACGCTGAGCTCTAGGATCTTTTGGATTACTAGGACAGTTTCCTCGAGGGATTCGCGTGGGATGCGCACTGTGGGTGAGCTGGGGATTATGCCGACGGCGCGGTCTTTGCGCATCAGAGTTGCGGGCAGGTTTAGATTCTTGATGCTGTCGCGCAGCGCGGCCTCGGCTACGTCTAGGAGAGCTGTGATGCCTGCGTCGGACCAGGATGCCATCTCCGCTGTTAGCCAGCGCTCCCGGGGCACGGGGGATAGCAAGTGAGGCGACGAGGGGCTGAATTCGAAGAGGTAGTTTGCCTCGCCGCCCATGATGACAATGTTTTGCCTCTGCTGCGGCGTTAGGACTGTGGAACTAGCAATAGCGTCTAGGAGCCCGTGCAGACGGGCATAGTACTGCTCGGCCATGGTATAGCCCGCAGCCGTAACGATGCCGATCTTGACGTTCTTACGCATGAGATCGATCATGCGCGGGATCACCGGGCTAGTGGACTCCAAGCTCTCGCCATCATCGTAGAGCGTGACGTCTCCGTCGAAAGTGGCGAGCTGGAGGGTGCCGTGGGTAGTCACGGACATAAGCTGGGCCGTATTGAGGACGAGGCGCACATCGTTGAAGGAGGGGGAGACAAAGCGGCGAGACGAAATATATCGCTTGCGGTCCTGGAACTTGAAGGCGGCCTCGAGAGGCAGCCGGGTAAAGAAGTTGCCAATGGTCGGGACGAGGAGCTTGAGCTTAGACGGGACCCTGCTCCCGTTTAATTGGTGCGTTACTGAACAATATACGTCAATGACTGGATTGGAGTTTGGTTCCGGGGGCGGGGAAGGCGAGCGTGAGTGGACGTACTGTGATCATCAATCATCACCTCGACGTCCCTCATGATCTCGGCATAACGCCTGTGCGCCTCTTCGGACATATGTGTCACGTTGAATCCATTGGCTTCATAAACACCGGTGGGCTGGGAGTATAATACGAAGGGAACCGCTAATAACCCTTTGATCCATTCTAAACATATGTAAGTTAGCTATCATATTTTGTGAGAGTAAGTAAGTTCACCGCTGGCATTATGCTAGCATTATTGGTCTTGGGGATATCCGATATCCGGAAACCCACTTCCAACGACGATGGTAAATAAAATAGTGAAGGATAATGTGAGAACCACAGCGTTGGGTTGCAATACCTATAAACTGGTCTCGTCTGTGCGTCTTCAACGCATCTATAGAAGCGCCCGTGTTAGTTGTTGATGGGATGCTTTACAGCGGAAGATATAGTCCGTGAAACTCGAACTCACACTCGACCCTGTATCTTGAAGTCATTATGCCTCTAGGTAGGTAAATTTACAATTGACTTCTGCTATGTATGGACTATGGAGGTGATTGAATAATTATTAGTGAAGAAGGCTAAAAGAACAGCGGCGAGAATAATTATGGAAAGGGATGAAGTGAAGTGAAATGTGAAATAAAACGGTGTAAGTAAAGGGGGTACATACGTAGAGTCATTGATCACGAGGTTCCGATTGACTGGAGTGCCGGCATGCGTTTGTGGGGCGCCGATGCAGCGGGACATCCAACGCGCTGGAAGAGGCTGGCTACCTAGGTACATATGTACCTAGTGAGCCACAGTGATACAGGCGCTAGGAACTCATCCGTCATAGCGTCATTTTGGTGGCCGATTAGCGCATGAAGTCTGGGCCATTTGAGGCTGGTACTTAAAGATAATCGAATGTCCTAACCTAAGCTTTAAACCTTCTACTTTATTTTTAATCATAAAAACATCATCAGAAGTAAATCGAATTGGTATGTTGATAACGTTGAATCGTTGGAACATAAGATGACTATATGACTTGTAAAGAACGAGATGTGGAATTCATTGTTTCATTTCAACAAACTATCTCAGACAGACGATAAAACATGCCATAGGATAGGTCCCTTCTCTGGTTTAGACCAGTCCGATGTTCTTACAACATCAACGCATTTTAACCTGTACCTCTCTTACACCTCGCCGGGCATTTCCGATGTCACTTGTCTAAGGCGCCGGAGTTTGAGTAGCACAGGCAGCCGTGACTGTCCTCAGCCGAGTCATGCAACCTTCGGGGCAAGCAGTCTGGCAGCCATCAACAAAGAGAGCAGTCTTGACTCCAGCGCAGCCGCACGGAACGAGCAGCTCTTTCTGGAACGTGCAGCCAGGTACTGGGCACAGCATCGGTTCACAGTCGCTAGGTCGGGTCGTGTGTGTCACTGTCGGGCAAACAGCGGGGGCGACCGTGGTGGGCTGGGCAGGGAGTGTGGTGATGGTGATGATGAATGACGTTGTCGTCGAAGAGTTTAGGGAGCTGATGGTCGGCGTGGGCGAGTATGGTGGGCGATGAGTTTGAGGGACCTCAATGTTGGGGTTGGCCATGGCCTCCGCCGGGGCAGCGCTAACAATACCGACAACACTATACTCCCGTTAGTATGATGAAGCTTAAGACCAAGCGTTAATAGGAGGAAACCAGTTGGTATCTTACCTGGCTAACGCCGCGACAAAACCGATGAGTACCTTCATTTTCGAGTTGTTCTGTTTCGACTATTTTCCCTATTAGTCGACGTTGTTGAGTTTGTTATAATATAAGATATTACTGACAATATTCGATACAGTTGTACTGAATCTTATAACTGTTGGCTTTCGTTGATGGAGAATAAACTGACGATGGATAGACTTATATGATCAACTAAGTCGCGGACAAGTTGTCTCTTATATACGCGCATCTTTGACGTATGGCTATACTCCATCCTGATCGATTTTAAATAGCATTAGACCTGCATGACTCGGGACCTCACGACTGTCACCCGTTCAAGTAGTCACTCCGGGCGAGATGCCATTTTTCGCGTTCTTTCCATCCTTCCGGAACGTGTCGTATTTCATTACTGCGCTAGTGGCTGCAGACGACAAGACGACGGTTTCCGAGGTGTAGCGTCGGGCATCGGTTTCACGGTACGGTTATATTACAGAGTAACTCAGGTCTTCACGTTGTAAAGGGGCCGAGTTATTTTTGGCATAACCTTACTTTATATTAAAGCCTAGGCCCGGAGTCCTACCCATGCTACAATATACTTAAGGGTTGTCAGGAGTTCTAATCGCACCGCGAGCACCGGGAGGACGATGTGGGTTCGAGGGGTCAGGCACCGGAACATCGATACCAAATAGAGCCACGCTCAAAACTTGATTTTATAAAGGAAACACGAGACTAATAGAATTCAAAACTATGTAGCTTCGGTGGTATGGTACTTTCGTCTACCAGTTTATCGTGTCACAAGCACCCTTCTGCGTATCGCGGGAAGACCGAAGAAACCTGGACATCCTGATATCAAACCCTCCGCGAGCAACGCGAAAATCAAAAGAAAAACCACCTTCCTCTTCAAGTCTCTTCCGAGGGGCGTATTTCGATAAAACGTTGCTAGATATAGTTGGAATCCTCGATTATCGGCGAATCGACGGCATCTGTTTCTCCTGAAATTACAAGTTCTGGGCTTGGGGTTCTTAAGGTGCGCATATTGCTATGAGCGAAGTGCGGTACGATGCCGTCAGCGAACCCGACAACCCAGGGACATTCTAATCTACGATTTTAATGGCCTAGCCAGGCCATTTACCTTATGATTGGCAGAAGTTGTCCAAGCCGGTCTTCGATGGCCCCGCAAAAACTGACGAGGCCATTCAGCCTCTTTAGCCTGGATTACGGGACAATATCCGATGGCAGAAGACTTCATATAACTTCATCTCGCAGACCCAAAGCTCGCCTATTCGGGCTACGTACTCGACATGCCAATATATCTTTGATGAAGACGAGGTCCTCGTAATAAGATCCCGCATGATTTGTCGCGCGAAGGCTGCGAGATAACGACACGGCCAAGGCCGCTTCTTGACATTAGTGCTGCATGTCATGAGTACAATCTAGCCTGCAGTTTACGCGGACTCAGCGAGTTCCCCTTGGAGATTGAAGAGTCGGATGATTTTTCGTCTGATTGCTCGGACGTTTAATCCAAAACCTTAGACTATCTCGCCTAGTAGGTGTGGGTTTTGCCTGTTTACTGATGATCATTTTGTCTAGGCCGCTCGTTTAAGAGAACCGGTATACTGGTCCCACAGGTCTTTGAGGGCGATCACCTCGCTGCTCGTCAAAGGTACGGTGCAGCTTTCCCGGGTGTCACTAACTTGCCCAAATAGCGAGCAGGATGACTGCTCAAGATCTCCCTGAGAATTTTGAGTAGACACATGGTCGGTATTCCGGCGATAAGAAGTTGTCTCGGCCTCTTCGATAAATAGCCGGTCCCTGCTGGTTTCTCATCCCCGAACTCTGTGACGACCTGAATCAGGCTACTTTGGCTTTTTGGCGAAAACCGCATATTCGACGTTCACTGAACTTGTTTGCATTTCTGATTAGCCCCCTATTTGGATTATCCAACGATTTACATCCGATAGCTTGACTTGCATGTATTACTACCTAGGTAGTCTTTCATTAAATGGACGGACTATATGTTCTTAGTCAAGTCGGGCCTTTCTGGGAATAACATCGTCTATGAGGTATGAGTGCCGTAGAGGTAGATAGAAGTGAATAAGAATCTAGAAAGAGCAAACTTAAGATAATTGTAATATGGTTCAATCCCAAATGTCCTGCCGTTAGACTACTTTAGATGCTGGCCACGACGGGACGTAGTCTCGTTTAAGTGTACATGGATTCAATAGTCTTCGGCGGCTGGTGGTCAACTATCAAACCCACTTAGTATCGAAAATTATTGGCCAAGCGATGTAATACATATAATAGGCAACGCGGTTCGATTGATTTTCTATATTAATAGCGTACATTGAAGTGGCAATGCTATATGGACCTGATGAGTACCTACCTAAAGTACTGTTGTTATTATTATTACGAATTTGCAAATGCAACATAGTCTCGCGTATATACGAGTATGGTTCCGTTATAAAGCTGCTAGATGCTCGACTTCAAGGGATGCAAGAATGTAGGCCGCGGATCCGAGCACACTGTTGTAGTTGATGGGCTGCTCGACATAGTACTATAAGAACGTTAGTGTATCACATCGTATAGGGCTCACAGATGCATGCTACTGACCTCGTAAGTTGCCGTCGAGTTCAAACTACACACCGCTACTGTTCCGTTATACCCGAGCGTGCCGTTCGTCTCCCGAACCACAAACGTGTCTGTCAGATACTTGTGACCGCGAATAGCGGCAGCCACCGCCGTCGACGATAGAGTGGCGTTCGAGGCGAAATATCCTAGTCGTGTGCCCTTGAGTAGCGCGTACGCGAACATGGCGCTGCCGCTAGACTCGATGTAGTTGCCCTCGCGTCCCGGCTCGTCGAGGACCTGCCACCATCCACCAGTCGCTGGATCGACCGCACTCACAATCGCACTGGCAAGCGAGTTGAACTTCTCGAGTATGAGATCCCGGCACTCGCGCGCGGACTCCGGCAGTATCTCTAGCGTGTCCACCAACGCCATCGCGTACCATCCCAAACTCCGGCCCCAGACGTGCGGGCTCGCACCCGTGTTGGGGTCCGCCCACACCGCGGTGCGTGAAGCATCATAACCGTGGGCCAGGAGTCCCGTCGAGTCGTTACGGGTGTGGTTCCAGAGCAGGTCCAGCTGGAAGTACGTGTCGTCAACCGCGGCAAGCGTCGCGTTCTCGCTCTCGGGGCACGGATTTGCGGTCTCGGCCGCGACGTGGTAGCTCACGTAGAAAGGCGCGAGCGAGTACATGCCGTCGAGGTAGCTCCACTGGGGATAGGTGAAGTACCAGAGCCCGCCCTCGGGGTTGCGGCGGTTGTAGCTGATGCTCTGGCGCAGGGCGCTGGCGGCGGTGTCGAAGGAGCCTGGTCCCGCTGTCAGGTTAGTCGTCGGGGCTGCCAGGGCTAGGAGGGCGTGTCCGTTGGAGAGCCGGTCCAGAGGGTACGATAGGGCGTCGTGGGTGGCATTTTGGACGAATGGGGATACGGACGAGGCGCTGGACAAGATGTACGCTTGCACGTCGGCGGTGAAGGCGTCGGCGGGGTATTGTGCTGCGAGCGCGGTCAAGGCGCGCTGCGTGATGCCGGCTTGGAGGAGCTCGGACGAGCCGGCTTTGCCGGTCATGATGCCCTGGCTGCGGGACATGATGCTGGATGCCATCCATGTCGAGTTCTTGCTCTGAGCGGCCTCTGTAACTTCTCCCGCTGCGGTGCTGACAGATAAGACGAGGGCGAGCGTCGCCGCCACTGCCGCGAAGCGGGATTGTATTGACACTCGCATCGTGATCCGTCTAAACTTCTTCCTTCTTCCTTCTAATATTATTTTTTCCAAATCCACCAAGTGCCGTATCCTTGCGACACAGACCTTGGGAATGTTTTATCGGGCCAAACGAATGTGTGTGTGGCGGAAGTAGGGAAGTAGGGAAGTAGGGAAGTAGGGAAATAGTTGAAAAGAAGAAAGGCGGTGGAGGAGGAAAGAGGTTCGTCCCAATTCTTTGTATTAGGAGGCAGTTACAACAAAAGGTGCAATTACCTAGGTTAAAATGTTTTCGATTGCCCCTGCCGGAACGGCGACCCGGTGCTTGGGAAATTAGCGGGCGGCGCAACTAACACGTTTACGTGCGGTAACGGGCACCGGGTACCGAGTCCACGGATATGAAGTTTTGCGGGATGCAAGGATCTGTAGGAAAAACATCCCATCCCGTCTTGATGCACGCTGTGGTCAATGCAGCAGTTTTCATTTGAGTAACTACCTAGTTACCGAATATTATTTGCTATCTACATTTCTTATATTTACATCATGGTAATTTCAACAAAGCAATAAATATCGAGCTCGCATATATATCTTTGTTTATTCCCTATGCAAGACACGAAGAGGCCATTTAAATAGGTAACCTAACATGGGAACCTTAGCCAATACATACATACCTATGTATTGAATAGGTATTCACCTCAGCAACTCCAAACCTGAAAGAAGCAAATAGTCGACCGACTACACACGCCCGACCATGGAGAATATCCGTAGACAACACTACGAGCGATTTACCAGTTCGCGGCACTCTACGTCTGTGGCTGCAGCAAAAGGGATTATATACCTTGATTCAGGCCGCGTCTCTTAACGGACATTAATCGCTCAGCAGGAGGAAGGCAATACTTATTAAAGCAGAGGGCGAATGTCACCTTGACGCACACGGAATAGATGAGGTGCAGAAGACAGCGTTACACTGCGCATTCAGCTCTCGCCTGTCTGCTCTTCGCTTGCGCCAGTGCCAGCACACGGCAAACCCGGTTCCGCTGCCGCTAGCAACCGCCCTGTGCTAATCGTGTCGATAATAGGTAGCTGACATGGGGCCTCGGTCACGAAGCTGACAAGGCTGTGTGTATGCTTCTTTGTGTATGTTTCTCCCGCAACACGGGCCATCGTGTGTATCTCGTAAGACAGTCCACGCCATTCACCCGAGTAGCAAAAGGCTTAACCTAGCTGCCTCTGTTTTACTTGAGGTATGGTTACGCTTTAGAGTATTAGCCTTCCCCCTGGGGTAGGTATTTAGAAATGCAATGGCTTGAGTATGGCTAATCACACTCCTTTCCCGTCCATGTCTTCTCGACTTGCTTCGCTTTGACCTTCCGCCCATATAACAAGCTGCACATTGCCCATCTCCTGAGCGCCGCACTTGATACGCTCCTCTGCGTATTCTGTTCTGGACTTGCTCTCATGGCGCGGATACCCTTCTACGCCATCGAAGCACTCGGAGCTTAGGCCATTAGTTTACAGAGCCGCGATTTTTAACCGGGCAATATGGGACATCGGGATGACCTGATCGCGGCTATGGCCGTCTTCTTGGTGGTTGACACCCTTGCTATAACCGCCCGCCTCTATGTTCGGACGAGGATGCTGACTCGTGGTTTCGGCTTGGACGACGTTGTTCTCATCCTGACATATGTAACTCCACCTACGACGCCTATCTTAGACATGTGCGGGCTTCGTACTAATATCATCATGACCCTCAGATCGGCTTTATTATCTCCTGTGCTATGGGCTTTACGTCTATGCATTATGGCTACGCGGCTAGGGACGAGCAGCCGTACTACAGCAAAGCTAAATACACAAAGGTAGATACGACATATTTTATATACTCGATTTCGAGCCAAGTCTTCCCATCAAAATATAACCAGCTCAAGGACTAATACAATCATATCCGTGTTTAGTTCCTATTTGCCAACCAGCTGACGCTTTATATTAGTGCTGGGCTCGTCAAAATAGCCGTGGCGCTCGTTCTCTATCGTCTATCATCGACTAAGAAGCTACGCTGGCTCCTAATAGGGTCGATGGCTGTCGTCACTCTCTGGACCATAGTCATGACGTTGTTCGCGTCGTGGCCATGTGCCCAAGGTGGTGTGTCCAACTGGGCTAGCAGCAAGGCTTGCACGCAAGTCAGTTACTTCCGTACTATCACCAATATCTTTATCGACTACTTCTATGCGCTTCTGCCGATATACATACTTAGAAAGGTAAAGATGAGCACGAAGTTAAAAGTATCAGTACTGCTACTGCTGGGGTTAGGTGCATTGTACGTTGCCCCTTTCTCTTCTCTAGCCCTTATAAGTCAACACGAGACAGTCAACATGAGACACAACTAGGCAGAGCACACTGGTAAGCCTATACTCACCATCCTTATAGTGCAAGCTCCGCCACCATTGTCAAACTCGTCATCATCGTCAGACTATCAACCGCCAAGGGCGAGGAAGCCCAGGCTCTACACTACGACTTACTTCTCTGGGCCGATATCGAACTCGGGATGGCTACGTTTGCGGCGTCTGCGGCAGCTCTGCGACCCCTACTCAAGCACATCCCGAATATTTGGAGTAGAAGCCAGACGTCGAATAGCCGTAGCCGTACTACAAGTGAGGCAGTCAGTCCCTACCGGGAGCTCGGCGCCAGTAACGAACTGCACCCGGTGAGCAAGCATGATGCTAGAATAGTAAATGGGAAAGACACCGAAGAGGATGTATTTGTAGTTTGAAGGGGGGAATCTGATAGGGGGTATAGAAAACGATAGGCTCAAGCCTTTTAATAAGCGATAGTATAGGTACCTAGGTAAACATGCAATTAAATTCACTGCGAACCGGCTCCAAATCAAATAGCCTCGATATCTTGATATACCAACCGTAGCAAATGCCACGGAGCTCAATGGCATCATTGTCTAAATGAGATCAACCAATGCGATGCCTACCAAATAGCTTGAGCTTTATCCCATAGCAACCCAACGGCTATGGCCAACCTACTACTAGTACATAAAACCCTCACGGATCATATCCATCTATCGCCACCAACACCACGCAAACCAGCCTTACCAGCGAAAACATCGTCACCCGCAGCAGCACCAGCATTAACACCCGTCTGTCTAGCAGCCGGCTGCCCCGCAGGCACTCGCACGGGATACCGACCAATCCGCCTAACTGGAACTGGGAACCCAAATCCAGACCTAGATATACGCCGGGGCGGCGGCGTATACGTGTGTATATGCGGCACGGACCGCGCAACACGCCGCTCGCGCAAAGTACTCTGCGACGGCGTCCCGTTTCGGGACGCAGCGATTGTTCGGACCGGCCGCGGCGGCGATTTATATTTATACGTGATACTCGGCTCAGACCGCGGGGGCTCCCGGTGAATACAAGCGCGGCGGTGCTGTCTGATCGGCGATTCCGGCGCAGAGCCGGTATCGAAGTCTACATCGCGGTCGTGGTGAGCGCAGCCCCGGATGTTAAGACGCTTGATGCGTGGTCCCAGGGCGTCTACGGTTGGGGAAGAGGCGCGGGTTAGTTTCGTGGGAGAGGGGCCGTGGAATTGGTATACGACGTGGACCGGGGGGAACGGGGGAGTGGAGGATGGGGGGTGGTGCGGAGGGAGGTGGAAGTTTATAGAAATGGTATTGAGAACGCTCGGACTGGTCGTGGACGACGTGGAAGAGCTCCGAGGTCTCTTTAGTGCTGTGACGGTTCCTTCTCCTTGCTCCCCGGGACATAGAGTAGAAATCTGAACGGCGAAACTATTATGGCTATGGCAGACTGCTTCGGTCGGTCGCGAGGGGGTTGATGGGGTAGACGACGGGGTTTGGTGACGCTTTGCTGCCTTCTGGGGTGTGGTTGAGGGTTCCTCAGCTTGTTCCTTCGGGGGTATCGTAGGATCTGTAATAATAGACGACTCGTCGGGCTTGTTGTCATTTATATTTGGTTCAGAAGGAGCAGTAGCGGCAGATGCAGCAGTAGCATTATCCACCTCTAATGTCTCTTGGGTTGCGGTAACAACTTTCGTCACGGGCTCGCCTTGGGGTTCTGTAGTTGACCCATCATTGGCGCTATTTGCCCCCATACTAGACTGAGGAGCTGTTGCGCTGTGATGATGTTGAGATTCATCGACTGGGTCTGCATCTAGCTCAGACATGGCGGCCATCTTGACCGGTGGGTCAGGTTGAGAAGCCATGGCTTATTCACTGATGACTATGCGAGGATGAACCAGGCTATAGTGACCAGAAGTTTTTAAGAAGCTCTTGAGGTTATGTAGTGTAAGTAGGATGTATGTCGGGAATTTTGTAGATGCTAAGAGAGAAATGGAAGAGTAAAGCACTTTCTAGCGCCTGAGAGGGCAGGCTTTAAAAAGAGGGATGGCTGCCTTAGTATCGTAGTAACTTGAAGATGCTTTATGCAACGACGCGTGAAGCTATGGGTTGTTTCTATAGTTATACGTACTTGGTTGCTAAGATATACTGGTTCGTCGTAGAGATTCGCCCTGACAACTTGGGTGACGAATCACTATAGAGTCAAAGTATCTTTCTTATAGGACTAGAAGTCGATTACGTACCTCCTTATAACTACCAAGGTACAGTAGATACCTAATATTTAGCTGGGTCTTGTTTTCCCATTGCAAGAGTATACATGCTAACTATCCTAGCATCAAAGCAAGCAGGATTCATAAAAGATGTCAGCGACAAGATACTAGGTTAAAGGATGACATCCACCTAACATTTCAACTCGTTCAATCATAAAAGCCCAGGATCTCTCCAACAACACTCTTGAATATGCCCTTCGGATCGAATTTCTCTCGTACGGCCTTAAATCTCTTTAGGTGACCCGGATCTAGATTCTGCGTGGCGTTACTAAACACCTCGCGCGTGTTCTTTGTCCAATGGGGCCTAGCCGGGAACTCGTCGATGAGCGTCTTGGCCAATCTAGGGTCTATAATAGTGCTTGTCAGCTATATCAACTCTCATTTTTGAAGATGTCGGACAGGTTGGGTGCGCATAATCAAAGTTAGGTACTCACAGAACTCTTCGTTGAAACGCTTTCCGTCGCCGACGGTGGGCTTGAACGACGGGAAATCGAACATGATAGCGCCCTTGGTCCAGTCGGCCCCGTCGGACGTGTTGTATGTGACCTGGCCTAACAAATCGTAATAAGGTCTAAATCATTAATTAGCAGGCATTTGGAGAACTGCCTGGTGGAATGAATATACACACTTCCCGAATTTGATGTTGATGCCACTGCGGTAAGTGCTCGCCATGATAATGCCCTTCTTAGCCTCGTCGTCAAATGCTTGTCGTACGCGCTTGAGCATCTTGTTGGCCAGTGTGATAGGGAATGCTAACTCGAGGGTAGAGCCGTGCAGGCCGTACTCCCACTCGGGCTTCTGACCCGGATAGAGACCGCCAATTAGGACATCGTAGTTCCAACCGTAGACGGGCCACTCCGTGATCGTCTTCTGAGTTGTCTTCTCGCGGAAGTTAGGAGCGGACCAAAGACCGAACGCAATGGTCTCGAAGAACATGTTTGAGGTTGCCAGATACTTCCCGCTCTCTAAAGTGGATTTCGCGATAAAGGCCTCGGTGTCGGTGAGGGAGAAGGTATTCTGGAATCCTTCCTGGGTGCTAAGAGTCAGCGGAACCTTGTCGTAGTATCGCCAATGGAACTTCTTCATATACGGCCACCACTACGAAGCGTTAGAATAAACTATCATACAACGGGAAAGGGGTATATCGGTGTACCCAAAAGTTGACCGTAGCATAAGGGGCGATCAAACCGTAAATATCGCCATTTAGTACGTCATCTTCATCTAGACTGACTTTCTTATTAGAATAACAACGGAGATCGTAGAAAAGGGGTGCAGGGCTTACGTCTCCTGTTTTGCAAAGACCTTGAAGTCTGGATAGATCTTGAACTTCATGCGAACAATTACGCCCAACAGGCCTAAAGATGTCGAAGCAGCAAGCCAGTCGTCGTTAGTCTCGTCGCGCTCGACTGTCACAATATCCCCGTTCCCGTTGACGATATCTAGTGACAGCACGCCTGCCGCGACCATTGAATCCTCTCGGACAGCAGACCGATGTCCGCCCATCGCTACCGCACCGGCCATAGTGATATTCCAATTAACCAACGTATACCCCATAGAAGCACTGTTGTTGTGGAGATATTCGGCCAGCTGGAGGAATGTCACACCAGCCTCTATATCCACCGTCCCGGTCTCGGCACCCTCCTCGAGTACTAGATTTGAGATCTTGTTTACGTTTTCCGTGCGGACGATGATCGTGTCCGGGTTGTCTGAACACATTGTATTGTACCTTTGCAACATCTCAAATTAGAATTGACTTGTTATGGGTCCGCCTAGAAGCATCTAACAGACACGATGGCCCCCATGGAGCATATAATGGGAATGGAAACGGATAGATTTATTGGATAAAACATGCTAACGAAGGTGTATCATAAAACGGGCTCTCTGACTCACCACATGTGGCCCTTCCCTGATGCCCTTACAGGTGTTCCGTTGGCAGAAGCATTCTTCACTATCTGGACGATATCATCGACACTAGTAGCATTGTGGACGAGAGCGACGTCGTTGCAAGCGGGAAAGCCTTCGCCGTCAAATGTGTTATACGGGATAGCCGAGACGCTACCAGCACCCGCAATGGCGATGATAGAGACCAGGACACGATTAAAAGTCGGCATCTTGGGATAACCGTGCTATTATGCCCATATGATTCTTGGTGGCGGCGGGAACAAGCTCGAGCTTAACAACCAAGCGCTTAAGTTCCGAGTAGCTGAGCTGAGGGACTACTCAAGCAGAAAGGCTGCCTGAGCAGGTAGCACTTACGGAAACCCCAAAGCTTTGTATTCATCAAAGGAAGTCCCAACAGGAAGGCCACGACGTTCCTCACTCGATTCTGATTTCCTTGTGATCAACGTAACTTCCCTTTCCCTCCAACCTCAACTTCACCTCCAAGTCCAAGTTTCTCCATCCTCAATCTCGTGGGTACCAGGGTCCCCTAACCCAAAAAGTTCAAAGTCGACATATCAGATCAAAGGAATAGCCTCGCATCACCTACGCGCGACAGGGCTACACCTATCCCCTCGCTGGTGGTATGCCTCGGGTGTGACATGCATAGTGGCAGTAGCAAGAGCGCCCGTGATACGATCGACACGGACGCCGCACTAGACACGGGGCACTTACCTAGCGCGGCGTTCGAGCGATGAGATCTCGGCGAGATACCTAGCGACGATGCTAGAGGTTACCCCGTCAGCAAGGACAGAAGAGTCAGACAACACTAAAACGGCTCCCTGGGTTATAGCAGACAGGGCCGTCCTGCAGCGATGTAACACCCCGCCAATTACAGCGAGCGGTGACATAATAGTAAACTGCAATCGCAGGGGGTGCCGTCTGGGGTAGCCATTCGCATTCCGCCTTGTGTCGATCATCAGGAGACGACGCATATAGATGTGCGAGCGTGACAGGACGCTGGTTGGGTGCGCTGTTGCACGAAGACGTACGTATTGCGCGGAAGGGCGTCCGGTGGCAGCACCTCGAAAGCAGGACGAAAATGTATCATCGACAATGCTACATTGAGCATGCGCAAGAACGCAAACAACTCATATCTCTTTTATGGCTTTAGCTTGTGATGCATGCCCGTGGCTGCCGTCAGGTCTGTATAGAATGGCGGGAATGGTAAATACCTTTCTTTACCCGGGACGAGTTTAGGTTGAGGAGATACGCCAATGATTGGGGAACCCGGTAATTAGTCTAATCTCAAGGAAGAAATCATAGCATCAGATTAAAAGCTGAGGGCTAACAAAACAGCAATCCCTGAACGCGGTAATAAGGGATTGCTCTGCCATATAGTAGTGGATATGGCACAGGGGACTAGGGTTGAGGATTGACCTGCCGAGCAAGGTGAACGAGTATCCATACAAGATACCGAAGACACCATCCTTAGCTATCGTTATATTGTCGCCGGCGGGGGAGATTAATGAGAAGCAAATTCAATGGCCATCTTACCTCATAGAGCTGTCAATAATGGCTGCGACTTGTATTCTAGACTGTTCAGACCCCCGATAGGAACGATATTATAGTCTTGTGCGATCGAAAGGAGAAATGCTGAATGTAAGATCTTTTCATAGAGCATGGGTATCGCTATGGACAGCAATTTTTGCTGAACCTATATTAACTCCCACTTTGCAAGCCAGCCGACATTCTGACCTGCGTTCCTGACAATGCAGAGCCTCGCGGTAGTGTCCTTCTGATCCTTGTATCGCTGTAGCTCCTCTAGAGCCTTCGTGGATGACAAGCTACCTATAGCGTCGCCTATTCCGTCCCTAAGGTTAAAACTTCCAGTTGTTACAAACCCGATCAAATCTTCTTCATTAGGACATAGTGGATGGCCATTAATGCTCTCGAAGTTGGGAGCGGGCGGCGGGAATGTCGCTGGAGGGCCGATAAGTTGCTGTGCGAGCAGTTGCTGTCGCGTTTCTAAATCCAGATTTGCCCTGGTGACAACTTTTTTGGGCCTGTTATTTCCGGATGGCTTTTGCGCTAACCATTGGTTACGTATGTTGGGCGGTAGTCTGCCCTCAGCCTTAGTATGAGGAGGATCGGTAGCTGGTACTTCGGCCTGCGGAGAGACGGCCGTTGGCTTTACGTTAGGTAGTCGATAGATCCTGGCACACGTGGTGGCTACTCCACGCGCCAACATCTTAATGTTCGCCGTTACCAATGACCTTGGAGGAGGCAGCTCAGATGTCGATGCCTGGTAAGCAACAAATGCAGATTTGGAAAGTTGCGTGACGCTTTCTAAGGGATTTACGAATGCTTTTTGGTTCTCATCTTGAGAAGTTGCTTCTGGCTCTTTCGCTCCATCTTTTCCATCTATTGCCATCTCTTCAGGGTCATCCACCTTGTCACCCACCCTCTTGATACCAAGAAGTAGTTCGTAGTCGCAATTCCACCCTACTCCAACCTCGCCTTTCCGCCCTGCTCCTAGGTCAAGTGATTCCCAGTTGACTCTCTTTCCTTTGGGCATGCGGTCCCATGCCTTGTGTCTCGCTTTTCGTTCTTCTAATTCCCAAGCTTTACCTGCCTCTGTGCCGGGCAAGTCACCAGGGAACCAAGGAAGGCCTCTCTCAAATGCAACATGTCTGATCTCATCCAAACCTCCAAACCAAGGGTTGCCACCACTCGACAAGGGGTAATGCATCAGACTATACCATATCGGAAGAACACACTTGTATGGTAACATTAACGTCCAAGTACCAGATGATTGTGAACCTACGGAATGACGGGAAGCAAGTAATATTGTAGGGATAGGAGGATCAACCATGGTTGGTTCGAGTACGGTTCCTGGTGTGTTATTGCCCCGTCGACGATTTAGGGACCGCTGGGATGGAAGTCTCGATGCCTTGAATCGAGTGTCCCTATCGAACAGCTGATGAGGCTCGGTAGCATCGTCTTTGCGGAATGCCGATATGGCTTCTAGAAGTGCCAACTGTGCGTTTTGATCGTTCCCTGGAAGAACTACCTGTCGTGGAGGGTAGCGAAGACGAGGATCTACGATTGAGAAAGCCAGGAGAGACCCAAGGGGTAGAGCACCGGGATCTTTCAAACCAGCGAGCGACTCGAACTTTGAAGCAGATGATTCTTTTGAATCAGATTTTTGGAAGTATGACCGAAGCACTCCGAGGAGAGCTTCAGTCGAGTCGGGGCCTATGATATCAATGCTTCCGATTTCAAATCTCAGGTCTTCTATATAAGGCCGGGGGTTCTGCATTTTTGCGAGCCGTAGTAGCTCGTTGAAAGTCTCCAAGAATGCAGATGGGTGAACACGGATGAAAAGTTGTCTAAATTGTTTACGTTGTTCTTGGCCTTCAGCTTGCTTTTCCGGATTCCAGATTATCGTCGCTGGACCGATAACGTGTATGACGTCTGCGCTTTTCCTGCTTAATATTCCGGACCAGTGTATATTACCTGACCTCCAACGCCTTGCCTTGTCGTTCCACAGAGCCTCCTGTGTAAGACCCAGCGACTTGAGAACATTCTGGACGCTATTCTGAGGTCCAGATAAGCCAACTGTACTCATATAGCTCATGTCCCAAGCCATTGCACCCTTTTCCCATTGGATGCGGTGGGTTGGTCGGTAGACCTTTTGTGATGGGGTAAGGGGGATTGCAAACCTCCACAGAGGTTGTGTAGGAGGTGTCATCCTCGCTCGTTTTGCGTGCCATAAGTGAGTAGGAAGCCATGTTTTTGAGAGTTGGCGCTTTCTAAATTTCCTGGCGGCAATGATGGGTTCATTGAGCTCATTTCTTTTTATCTTGGGCCTAGCAGCCCTTATAGAGATGGTTTCATCGTCAGCACCAGAACTCTTTAGTTTCCGTAGCTTCTTTCGTCTTGAGAGAAGATCTAGCTTCCGAGAAATCTCAGCTCGCAATCTCGCTCTAGTAGTCTTTGGCTTTCTAGTCTTAGAGCTGACGGTTGGAGTATTATCCTCTACCATCTCTCTCTTGGCCCTCTTCCGTAGCCGTTTCGGGACTTTCTTATAGTTATGGGCTGCGGCCCTACGTCTCATTCTGAAAGGTACACGCTGAAATGCTCGACTGGTTTGAGACGTCCTTGTACGTCTCATACTCTCATCCAGAGCATTGATCTCGAAGGAAAGAGAGCCGACAAACGACTGAACGTTGAGTTCACCATCTTTCAAGGCAGTATGAGATTTCTGGGTGGCAATGCTTCTAATTTCATGGGTCTTTGCACGCTTTGCATCCCGTGTCCTATGATCAGAACTCTTCCCTTGATTCTTGAGTCCTGCATCTTGCTGCGGAGGATCTTTTCTCTTATTAGACTTTGGCTGGTCTGAATTTCTAGAAGCCTCAGGACTTGACTTCGACTTCGGCTTATTCGTTGAAGCCGCTTTACTACCCGAATCCCCGGGAGGCTTGGCCTTTGACGCTTGCTTCGGAGGCATCTTGTCTGAGTAGATACTATGTGTAAGCCATATGAGTCAATGCGCAAAGGGGGCAGTATATTCGACTTGACGGTATTTCAAGAGCAAGCGAATACGATTCCAAGGTAGGATACGATAGGTAGGCCTGCTAGTTACGGAACTAAGGTCGAGCCAATATAAAAGGCTTGAAAAAACACACGCCCACTATTCGAAATCTTTCACCATGACTTCATTAGGTACATAAGTGCATGATGATATGCACCAAGGGTTGGTTACCGCGTATTGGTAAACGCGTATTATGCTTCGCGTGGGCATGTGCTTCAAATTTTTAGTACTGCATTTTAGAAGGGTTCTTAGTGGGTCTGGCAGGTATTGGGTGCAGCTGCCGTTTTGTTACGAGACAGCCTGACAGCCTGACAGCTGGGGCTGCTGGGCTCCGCTATACATATTTAAGGTTAAGGAACAGGTACGTCTTGGAGTACATAGGTATGTACCTGCAGTTTTACACCAATATTGTATTGTACTTGGTACCAGCAGATTGGGGCTGCCATGGCTAGAATCCGGTTGACTTGGGCACAAATAATGACGTAGACAAGTCTTAGCTACCTAGGTACCTACATAGTACGAAGTACCTCGCTCATAAACGTCCGAGCTGAATTCGACAAGGTCCGGAACATTTCCCGTTTCCACAGCCAACATTAGAACGAAAATTTGGACCAACGAGAATTGCTTTTATTCATTTACTAGCTCTCCTTGATCTTGACGTCGTCCTATCTTTGCCCTATCTTTGTGGCTGATTCTAGCACCAAGACCAAGAGCTAGGGGCAACGTAATCCCCCCCCCATCCCCCCTAATTCGTTCTAATTCAATTCCTTCCCTACCAGGCTTACCTTATCTCGAATTCGCCTTGCCTCGTTCGTACGATTCCGGTACATAGAAACCCAGAAACCCAGAAACCCAGAAACCCAGCAGAAACCTGTTCGCTTTTCGGGATCCGGTACAGCCGAAACAACAGTTCTACATAGGTAGCCGCTATCTAGTACATACCTAACCGAGCTACCAAAACCGGGCTGCTATTGATGTTTCGCTCCGAATCATGACTGCATGTTACCAGCACACCACCTACGCCATTCGCATCTGTTACTAGCTAGCATGTGCAGTATCTCCGCTGCTGGGGTGAATGCGACTTTATTAAGACTATGTCGTCCTTAAGTATGTAAGCCTGTAAGCCCCTAGTCGCCGCTGCTGCCGCCCTTCTTCCCCTTCACGCTTTGTCACACAGTTTCTTTAAGCCGCATTCCTGTATTCCTGTATTCCGTATTCCCTCTATTATTATCGGTTGCCTCTCATTCATCCAATAAGCGAAGATGTAACTCTGCCTACATTCGGCAACTTGTCATTGTCGTTGTTAGCACGCTTATGTTTTGCCCTTCATACTACTGTTATCCCTTGTCTTCCTTCTATTTTGCTTCGCTAGAAGAATTATCATAACTATCATAATAATGTCTCTTACTTTGACTGCGACACCCATTGCTATGCGCCAAATTCGTATTTTTCTCAAGCTAACATGCGTATTCTTCCAATAGTTAATAAGGCCCGGAAGGTATATAATACATATATTACTATTTACTTCACCCTAACTTATATTTCACCATGCTAATGCATATCTCCGTCCCTCTTCTAGCCGAAATTCGAGCTTCACCTTACTATCTACGACTTAAATAATGTACCATTGGTTGCCGGCACCTCTACGATAAAATGGTACCTTCCGAGCTCGATACATGGCGAGCATCGCGGCCGTACGGCCAAGTGTTCCATCGACAAGATCAATCATCGCGTTGTCTATAATTATTCTAAGATCATACCCTTGCGCATCTCAATCGATCGCAATAACAATCTTTCCGAATGCCCTATCGAATTCGAGGTGTTGCAGGAGTTTCCCATGGTCCCCGGCGGTCGCGACGAGAAGATTCCCCTCGGCGTTGTTAAGTTGAACCTAAGCGAATATGTCGAAGAAAGCGAAAACTTTCCTCGCCGGAGTATAGGCGCGCGGGCCAGCGCAAGTCTGGATCATGCACGAGAGAAGATCGGACAAGGCATGTCGCACCGACGACAAAGCAGTAGCAAATCGGGCAGTATCACAGGAGGGACCAGTCCACTAAGCACAACAGCGCCGCCACTACCACACCCAGAGGAAAATGACGTGGTAGACGATGAGGCCGAAGAGGGCATTGTCCGGCGATACTTGATGCAGGAAAGCAAGATTAACAGCACACTTAAGATTGGCATCTTAATGGTTCAGATTGACGGTGAGCGTAACTACGTCGCGCCTCCCCTCAAGACGGCTCCTATGTTCGGCGGTATAGCCGGCATCATGACGGGTAGCGAGCAGGTCCCGGTCGAGGCACCCGAAGACGGGTCTACACCCCCCAGCACTAAAACTAACTCCGGCTCCCTCGGCAAGTCCCGAGATGCCTCGGAGCTGCAGGACATGTATCGCCGCGCGCTAGCAGCAAGTTGGACTTGTCAACCCGGCGAGCTACCAGCTGACGAGTGCATCGAGGACATCTTCTCGGGTGGCGATGGGTGGAGCGATACTACGCGCCCCGGCTCTAAGCCCCCTACCCGCCGCAACCGCCTCTCGCATTCTGGATCCGTCGCCAGCAGCACCAGTAACAATAGCGGCAACGTAAGTGACGACGAAGGCGTTGGTGGTAACACGTTACGGCCCGCCGATATCCGCCACATGCGCCACCACCATCTGCGCACTCGCAGCGGCGACAGCGATCGCAGTTCTCCCACGCTAACGGGCGGGTTGCGCAGTAGTAGTACTAATGGCCGCCAGGAAGGTGGGAGCGGACGACATCCTCGGTACCGGGGACCCGGGAAGTCACTTAAAGAAGACGGCGGCGTAGACGGAGCATCAGATGGCGCACGCAGCCGCAGCGGGAGCTTAACAAGTCTAGCGCCAACACTAGGCAGTGACCGTGGGCGCGAGGGGTTCAGACGGCCGAAAGAAGTAGACGAGTACGAGGAGCGCGAGGACCTAGTCGCTTGGACGTTACCCGAGACCGTAGTATAAGGTTAAAGCTTGTGCGTGTGCTAGAGTATGGCATAGCGTAGCGTGGCATGGATAGCGCATTATTATATTCGTGGGACATAGCGTACGGTTGTTTTTTATATCCAGGTATTGGAACTAAACTAATTTACTTCACACACACACACACACATACATACATACATACATAAAAAAGTCTTGGTTGAGACGGAACAGACAGACTTCATAATCTAAAAATGGGAATTGTATATGTGAAGAATAGGTAGATTGGATAGGGTGGGATTAGCATTATACATATATATAGGTAGTAGGTTGGTACAAGCCGGCTGCATATAGATTAGGTACCTAGGTAGGTAGGTAGGTAGCTTAGATTAATAGACGGAAAATACACTGCCCCTTGAATTATATCGCATTACACTGCGAAACCGGGAATTAACGTGCACGACGAGAAACTAGATATACAAAGTCATAGCCATGCATAAACATCATAACAGGTAGTTAAAATGCGTCACTATATGCATCACATCTACTCTATTCCCATGCTTAGCCTATGCCTGTTCTTTCTGCCTGAGAGGGTGGAACAAAATTCCGCCCAAGTTAGTTCCATCTATCGAATAGTGCCTCCCGAGCGTCGCGATGCCTCCCTCCCTTTTAACTAGACCGACGCCAATAAGCGAAGAGCAGTAAGTAACATTACCTACCTCCTAGGTAGGTAAGATAGATGGGTGAACTATTTTACGGAGCTGCAAGAGTCCCCCTGACGCCACCCTTGCCGCCGACAGCTCTCGTCGCGATGGTGACTGCGAGATCGGGCGCCACGTTGATCGTGACCTCGACCTTGCCCCCCTTCTTGACGTCCCGGACAGCCGCCTCAGCGAGGGTGGTGCCAATCTTCCAGATCTTTTCCCTGTGCTCCTCTTCCTCCTCGTCCGAGTCGAAGTCACTGTCATCTTCATCTTCGTCATCTTCTTTATTCCCGTTCTCCTTTGGCTTCGGCTCCGGCTTCGTCACCTTGATGTGAGTGCCGCCTTCGGCTATCTTCACCAGCACGTCGCCTCCATTTGTGGGGGCTGCGACGTGAATTGTTCGGCGAGCCGGTGCAGCAGTCTCGGGTGCGATGATGGGTGTAAAAATCTCCTCACCATCGTCGGATAATGAGATAACACCAATTGCATTAGTAATGTGCTTGACAGTTGTAACGGCAGGGTGTGTCGACTGTTCAATGTCCTCCGCCTCGTATTCTTGAATCAAAGAGGCCTGGAGAGCAGCACCACGTGCTTGGAGCTCCGATGGGTTAATAGCGGTTGCACTCGTTGCGGGGGCCTGGATAGTAGTGGTCTCCGGGAATATCGCGCGGAAGTTGTTTGCGATTCTGGGAGTATGGGATGTGCCACCAGAGAGAATGACCTCGTCAATATCGAGGACGTCCAAACCGGCCTTCTTTATGACACTATCAACGAGGCGGTTGAAGCCTTCGAATACCTTACGAGCAATTGTCTCGTATCTCAGTCTGTTGATAGTAGTCTGGAAGTCAATACCTTCCGCCAAGCTTTCGACACTGAAACTGGCGTTGGTACCAATGCTAAGAGCCTTCTTAGTAGCTTCGGATTCGGCCTTAAGCTTCGCTAAGCTCCTAGCATTTCCTCGAGGGTCGACGTTGGGGTTCTTCTTCATGAACTCTTTGGCGAAGTGTTCCATAAGGACATTGTCCAGGTGAACTCCAGCAAACTCATAGTCGTGAGCCGTTGCGAGGATTGTATACAGTCCACCTCTCGAAGCTACCACAGCAACATCTGAGCGTGTACCGCCAAGATCGGCCACCACGATTATCTTATCTTCCAACTTAGCCTCAGGCCTTGCGTCATAGGCAAGAACTGAAGCGATAGGCTCGTTGACTAATTGAAGAACCTCAAGCTCAGCATCGTTTGCAGCCTGAATCAAGGCCTCTCTCTGGGACTCTGTGAAGTTTGTAGGTACCGATATTACGGCAGAAGTAACCTTCCTTCCTAAGTAGTCCGAAGCAGATTGTAGAAGACGGCGCAGGTATCGGGTAGAGACTTCCTTTACAGAAAGGGTAGAAGGCGATTCACCCTCGACCTTGTCTTGAACGGTGAAGGAAACTGTCCCATTCGCTTCTTGGGGGTGAGATGCGGCGTGACAGTGAGTAGGGTCGATAGACTTGAATCTGTTCCGAAGGTAAGTACGTATTCGGCCATATAGTACGAATGGAGGACTAACTCTTGACCAAGAAAGTCCTTGAATGATATAACTGTGTTCTGGGGATTCCGGATTAATAGGGCCTTGGCCTGGTTTCCGGTGTACTCTTCTCCATCGACATATGATAGGATGGTGGGGATCTGTCGGTCTATATTATAGGATTAATTAGCGAAATGTCGCAAATATAGAGAGGCGTGCTACCCACCTCCATCTTCATTCGCAATAACAATAGGGCTGTCATCAGTTGTAGAAGCAATAGAGCTGTACGAATTGCCAAATGATATACCAATGGCGCATCGATCACTTGGCGAAACGCCAAGTTGGCCAGCTCCCTTCTCAGTCATGGATGCGATCTTCCTAAAATCTTAAAAATAGCCAGATTCGTGAGGAATGATTTCAAGTCGGGGTCAGAGAATCCAAGAATGTTGGATACTTGGATAGTAGTAGTGTCCGTTGGTGGGGTGTGAGATTTTGGATTTCAGCGCCTTGCCAAAATTTTGTTCTTTAGAGCCAAAAAAAAAAAAAAAAAAAAAAAGTGAAGTTCCTCGATGCAGCAGCACATCCCTGCCCACTGTACCCCCCACATCCAAATTCCCGATTCCGCATAGCGGATTAAACCTAGCCACAATAGCCCCTCCAAGGCTTTTCAACAGCCACAAGTAGAGCTAAAAACAACCACTCACTGGAACCTTAATCCATACATTTTCGTAGCTCAGCCACTAAATTTTCGAAGCTGCATCTCTTAGAACATCAACAATACAATACAACTAAAAACTAAAATGACAACCGCACAGAGTGAGAGGGTATTTGTCCTCCCGGGGGACCAGATAAATCCTTCCTTGATCCCATCACATCCCAAACGAGCTTTACGGCTCGGCCCCGGACTTCGGCACATCCCTCCGAATGAATTGATACCTACAGTCGCCGGCCAGCTCGTCACCGACCCTAGGAAGAATTCGATATGGGTTGAGTATAACGGAGGACGAGTAAGCCATCAGTTTGCTTACCTACAATACCATGTATTGACAATCCCTATAGTATACACCAACGGTCGGTGACCTAGTCATCGGTACCGTGCATCATTCAGCAGCTGACTACTTTTACGTCATGCTGTCCAACTATACTTCCAATGCTATACTGCCGCAACTAGCATTTGAGATGGCCACGAAGAAGACGCGGCCTAACCTGAATCCCGGTGCTCTAGTCTACGCGAGGGTCTGTCTTGCAAATCGGCACATGGACCCTGAGCTTGAGTGCGTCTCGCCAAGCACCGGAAAAGCAGACGGCTTGGGTCCCTTAAACGGCGGTATGCTGTTTGATATCTCATTAGGCATGGCTCGACGGCTTCTAATGCGTAAATCCGCTGAAGAGGGCAAGGTCGTTGTCTTAGAGGAACTAGGGTCCGCGGGTCTTGCTTTCGAGACCGCGGTCGGTAGGAACGGGAAGATATGGGTCAGCAGTGAGAAGACGAAGACTGTGCTGGTGGTTGGACGAGCAGTAAAGGAGACAGATGAAAAGAGCCTTACTGTCGACCAGCAGAAAAAATTGGTACGAAAGTTGGTTAAGGAGATGAGTTAGGTCGGGTCCAAAACTACTCTGATGTAAGTTATGGCTGTTTTCTCCATACTTTAATGATACCCCAGTACTTTTCGGTCAGATTCCGTAAAAGAAATTTGAACAATCTTTTCAAAGTTGTGGTATGGGTGATGACCTCTTCTATACGTTTATCATTATCCAAATATCGTATACACTGGTGTTTGCATGTTTTCTTGTCTAAAGGGATAGCTAAGAACGTTTCACGTAAGACAATAAGGAAATATATAAAAATATAAAATATTAATTTGTATATATAATATATATAAAGGCGCTATCCAGAGCATTTTCGAAGCGAAAATAGCTAATCTTGTGCTACAAGAGTAGCCTCAAAACCATAATTTTCCTATATACAGTCCATTGCTGAATATCAGGATCATCTTCACTTTTTTTGATCTTATCTTGATCTGTTTCCATGTCAAGTAGATAAATTAAGATAGGATGTATAAGTCAAGAAAGAAGAATGAACGAGTACGCCTATAACTCACCGTAAGAACGCCATAGGACGCCGAACCGTATTCACCAGCTAAAGTTCAGCAAAACATGGCACATTGGGAACTTACCCTGCCCGCCCCTACCTTTTTGTTAACCAGCGTGCGACAGTCAAATCCATTGCATTTGCCACTTACATTCAAGCCGCTGTCTCTCGCCGCAGCTAAGACATACCTTTTCATTGAGATCTCCAGGGTTGCAAAAGCAGGATTGTACAGCGTACGAAAAGGTAGGGGAAGGTGTACTTATAGAAACAAGCATTGTGGACTGAGCGTCATTGTCCCCATCCTGACTTTTCTCATCAAGGTAGGCAGTGGACGGTATACCACGCTCATGGTAGAACACCGCGCTATCTGGTGCACGTACGCCGGAAATTCGCTTTGGCGGGACTAGCATTGAGGGTCAGCGGCTCGTTCATTTTTCGATCATCGAAGAGGGCGACAAGGTGGGAGGGTTCATGCAAGAAAATTGTCAAAATTACTTACTTGAGACCACATCCAACAATGTGCCTGTTTCGACCATGAGTGAGTCTGCCGATGGTTTAGCCCGTACGAATGTAGCAGGGGCGGTGCGGATCCGGGGAGCGTTATCGATTTTCGATGGTTCGGCAAAGCTAACACTTTTGGCCATTCTCTCTTCATTGGCAATGCCAGCAGCGGGTACAGGGGTATCCTTACGCCAGGTAGGAACTTTCGGTGCTCGCTGAAGTCTGGGAAAAGCAGGCAGACTAGGCACTCTTTCATTTTCACAATCAGGATGACTTTGAATATCGAGCTCTTCAGCCTGTTCAGTTATTCGTCGGACGAGGGAGCAGTCAGATCGCTTTAGCGGAAGGTCATAAGACCTTGTTGTTGGACGAATGGGTTTTGGTTGAACCGGTGGCCCGCTAGGCGGTCTACCGCGAGCGCTGGGAGGATAATCAAAATCGTCACTGACTAGGTCGGAAAGATCGATAACCGTGTTACTCCCGTATTCCGTGACCGGGCATCCATTCGGTATCTCCGATAGAAAGGGGCCAACCTCAGTAGATATAACGTAAGAATACTCGTTCGGGGTTTGAAAATATTTAGGATTTACGGAATTCCTTCTCGAAGAGCCAGCATCTGTATGGACGGGCTGTGCTTTGGGGTTCTTATGATGTCGATCATGGTGTCTCTTTCGGTGGACTAAAGGCGGCGGCGGTCGAAGTCCAACTGGGGAGTTGTTTGGAGCTCGTGGGACTTGTATACTTGGAACTCGTAGCGATCGCCTTCTATTAATTTCAGCTTCTGCGGTCTTCTCAGCTTCTCTGGCATGCCTGGCTTCTCTAGCATGTCTAGCTTCCGTAGCATCTTGTGTTAGTTTTTGGAGAGCCGACTTGGAGATGATATATTGGTCGCGATGAACAGTTCTAGGATCGATCGTTTGATTATAAAGCCCGTTGTTAAACTTATACTCAAGAAATTTCTGGCTTACAGGAATAGCGGCTTTCTTGCCAAATTCTTCAGCGAAGAAATCGAGACAGTCATGACACACTCGCTGTACAAATTGTGTACTACGCACCGGGTCGCAGCTTGAAAGCATGTGGCCCAGGCAGAAATAATTCCGGATGAGGTTATATCGCCAACATCTATAAAATTCTTGCTCCTTGTGGCGGCAAGCGTAGCGGAGCGTGAGGCGTTTACAGTCGCACGGCATGATGAATAGTGTTGCCTAAGTATCTAGATACGTAGAAGCGTAATAAAGAGCTTGCTATTACTACACTGCTAAATATCTAGGAAGAATTGGCGGTTGAATGTTCTACCTAGGAGATTGTTGTTTCTGTCGTGTCTTTTATAGAGAAAACATGATAGAAACGACGGCGAACGATAAGTCTCGAGGACATTTATAGGAGATTCAGAGTAATTCATTTGTTCTATAGCATTATTATCAACATTGTTCTAGAACAAGAGGAAAAATGAAAGGCTTATTTACAATGGAATTGTAATCACAACAATTCCATAGCAACCTTGTTTCAGAACAAAGAGATTGAACCATCACAACGTAAATCAGTCTATTATCTTCGACTCGATAGGTGCCTCTTGGGGTAGATATCAACAAGACAAAGCCCTGAATAAGGTCCGTACCTCTAAATGATAGTTTTTCTGTAGTTAATTGAATCTGGGTCTCATCTTATTCCGAGGTTGTCTTGCTGATAGCCCTAAAGGCCAAGGCTTTACTTATTTTCGATGGCCAAGTCTTAAGATGGTTAAGGTGGTCGAAACTATGATGTACCACTAACCAAGGTAACATTGTATCCTTATCGAGAGACGCAGTGTAAATAAATTAAGAGGCTGACTTACTCATAACGAGATTATTCCGATTTGTCATAAGTGAAAAATCAAAGATTTCTAGGTTAAGGTGGCCGGTTGAGTCATCACCGCGGATCTCATATAGAGACTATTATATAAATACCTACCTAGGTACCTAGGGGCCTAACATACCTAACGGTAGTACATGACATGACTATATCTTATCTAAAGACTTAACTACCACCTAACCTTATAGGTATTCCAAGAAGCTACCCCGCCAAAGCTATCCTTAACAAACCGGCCCCCGTCTCAACCCACCTTTCGCCATAACAGCTTGGAATAACGCCTCCATTCTTTTCTAAGTCCTATCTCTTTCTAAGCCTCAATATCATCATATATTTTAGTCGAATAATATTCCCGGTTGGCGTCGCAAGAAATGGATCAGAAAGCAGACGATATTCTGCGACGACCCCTCTATGGTGAATTCCTATTTCAGCCCACCATCGCAAAAAGTTATATAGTACACCTTCTAACCATCCCACCCGCCAATAGTCTATGACCTCCCCGACCAAGTCCTTAACAGCCTCTCCTTAAAACAAGACGCCGCCGTTAACGGCCCAGATACGACCAAGGAACCGACCGAATCTGCAACGCAATCACAAACACAAGATGCGACGTCTGGAAACTCGCCACCCGTAGTAGGCTCGCAGTCATGCTCGCTATGCGCCCTCTCGTTTGGCACCGTACAAGATCAGCGCAGCCACCTAAAGTCCGACCTACACCACTACAACCTGAAACAGAAACTGCGCGGAAGAAACCCTGTCTCCGAAGCTGAATTCGAGAAGCTGATTGCGGATCTCGACGAGAGTCTTTCAGGCTCCGATTCGTCGGACTCTGATGACGAAGACGAGGATAACGACGGCAAGGAGAGCAACCTTCTTACAACGCTTTTGAAGAAGCAAGCTACGCTCTCGGGAGAAAGATACAATGCCATGGGCGACGATCAAGGAGACGGCGAAGATGGGAATCCAAAAAAGAAACAAAAGGGCGGCGGCGCGCAGCCTCTGCTATGGTTTAGCTCATCTCTCCTACCTCAGAATACATATTTTGGCATCTATCGCGCCATATTCGCGCTGGCAGAATCCAAGGACGAAAATACAATCGTCGAAACGATCAAGGAGAAGCAACTAGAACCAATACCCGTGCCCAAAGCGGGACCGGACGGTAACTTTGCGCCCTCTGTCCTTAAAGGACCGCACATCTTCCTCTGCATGATCGGTGGCGGGCACTTCGCAGCCATGGTAGTGTCACTGGCGCCGCGACAAACGAAGCACGGATCTGTGGGCCCTTTGAATAGAGAAGCGACGGTATTGGCGCATAAGACATTTCACAGATACACTACGAGGAGGAAGCAAGGCGGTTCGCAATCAGCAAACGACAATGCCAAGGGCAACGCTCATTCAGCCGGTTCTAGTATACGTCGGTACAACGAGCAAGCCCTAACAGACGAAGTCCGATTGCTTCTGCAAGATTGGAAAAGCCTTCTTGACACGGCAGAGCTATTGTTTATTCGGGCTACAGGATCTACAAACCGTAGAACCCTCTTCGGCCCCTACGAAGGCCAAGTCCTACGAGCCAACGATCCGCGCATACGAGGCTTCCCATTTAGCACGCGAAGGGCAACCCAGAATGAGTTGATGCGATCTTTTATCGAGCTGACGCGGTTAAAAGTCCGCGAAATTGATCTAACTCAGGTTTCAAGGGCGCAGGAGGAACCGTCTGCGAAGACGACTTCTAAACCAGCGAAGCCGACTGTGCCTAAGTTAACAGAGGAGGAAGAAACTGCACTATTACACACGTCACAGCTGCAAGCTTTCATACGGAGATCTAAACTGCCCGCTCTACTATCCTACCTGAAGAGCAATGACATATCCGTTAATTTCCTCTTTCAGCCAGCAGACTCGACCCAAAACTACCACGCACCAACTCCTCTACATCTAGCAGCGAACCAGAACTCAGCGCCCCTCGTACTAGGACTACTAGTAAAAGGAGCCGCGGACCCTACGATAAAAAACGGCGAAGGCAAGACTGCCTTCGAGCTAGCCGGCGATCGATCGACAAGGGACGCCTTTAGGGTAGCGCGCGACGAGCTCGGCGAGTCAAGATGGGATTGGGAAGCCGCGCGAGTGCCGCCTGCCATGAAGAAAGAAGAAGCAGAAAAGCGAGACGAGCGCGAACGCAAAGAGGACGAGAGGAAAGAAGCAGAACGGCGTAAAGCCGAGGAACAACGGCTCAAGAGCGAAGGGCCCAAAATTCCCGATAGCAATAGCAAAGGGCGCGGGAAGAGTCTGCTAGATAGTGGCACGAAGAAGTCCGCGCAGGAAAAGCGCGAGGAGGAGGTAAGGGGCCTTACTCCCGAGCAGAGGATGAAGCTCGATCGAGAACGAAGGGCCCGGGCGGCGGAGGAGAGACTGCGGAGGATGCAAGCTGGCGGTGGCGGCTAGACCACAATAGATACATAGGTACCTACCTACCTATGCATGCATGCTTATAAGGGGGAGAATAAGATAGAAACGGACTTTTAAGATGAGGCCGCATGGTGAGCTGCATCGGATTGATTGGCCCGACCAGGTCAAGCAAACGCAGCCGCCGAGTACCGAAACGCGCCTCTTCTTCTCCCGTGGCGATTCTTTGTTCATAGGTACCTAATGCATGTAGGTATGTGAAGTAGCACAACGTCAAGTTAGGTAGATCTACATTTGCTGGTCCGTGGAAATTACCTATGTAGGACGACAGGTGGTTTTAGAATAGAACGGGCGGCGGCGAAACCCCCATAAGCGCCCGCCAACTCTACCTATGTATGCCGGGCGCTCCATGGAACCCGACTGGGAAGTCTCTTTTTACGTTTTTGTGCTAGGTCGAAGCAAAAATAGCGAATGGCGTTACGGTTGTGTATCTCTTACAATGCCTACATACATGAGGCAAACAAGTACTTAACCTAAGTAATATGTATACGATGGTTTATTGATGCAACACACCTAAGGTCAAGGAAACCGCAAGGAAGATGCTATCAAAATTAGATGCTTGGAAGTTAGATTCGGTCCCGAGTGACGGACTAAAAGATCTCTATGTACAGTTTCAACGATATCTACCTAACTAAGCTTACCCGTAAGTAAGACATGAGTAAGCTGTTCTTGGATATCTTATGTGGGTAGGTAGATAAAAGGGGGAAGAGCCGTAAGATTATAATGGTGCATCCTGCGAGCCTTATATCTCTTATATCTGACGGGTTTGGCAGGAGATGCGTATTTGCCGTCGTCACCACCTCGACTTGTTGTTCCTTTCAGACGACCCATGGGTAAGCTCTCAAACATATGATAATACATATGATCATTGACAATTGATCCCGGACGTGGAATTCTAGGTGCGTTTGGCTTACTGTTATGTCTGTAGCTATCCGTCATACGATAGATAGGTATTCATACGATAGATATCTCTGGATTAAGAGGTACATGTAGCTTTCTTTACCTTACCGTTCTTAGGTTGCTTATCCCCGGATACATAGCCACCTCCTCCTAATCTCAACCATTGTACCGGACGGCTCGATTTAACCATATCTTCTTCATGCAGTCATCAGATAATGCCAGGCATCTGCTATCAGTCAGGTTAATCAATATACCGTGTTCTAGTTTCTGTTTGACCCATCGACTAGGTATATTATAGGGGGCGGCCTTGGTATTATATGCTGTTCGTAAACATGCCGCTCGCATTATGAAAAACTGCATGTTAGCGGCACTAGGAGAATCGCCGCCAAGCGCGAAATCCTCCCGACGCACCTGCGTTTGTGTTTACCACGAACTTGGCCTCCGAGCCACCTAGCTGGAGTTGTAAATCTGAAGTTGGGGCTTGAAATGGTGGGGTGAAAAATCGTCAGTTAATCAAAGGGATCTCGACAGATCGGTCTTCGTTGATTTACTTCGCGGGGACCAATTAGGCATTGTTCCTGAAGGATTTTTGTCGTCAGCGTTTAGCTCCCGCGGATTATCAGTAGGGGTTATAATGGCGATCAGCACACGCCCGAGAGGCCGGAACAGAAAGGCTTTGCTTGCAGCGCTGATCGCAGCGTTTCGCAGCTAATAATAGTTGAATAATGCCTGACAGCACGTTTTGGCCCTCTTTAGAACTCGACGATTTAGTAGCTTAGAGAGTGATGAGGTCTTTAGTAAACGAAGCTCTGGATACTCCAAAGCACTGCGTAATTTCGCCTAACTACCTACTTGACATACTACGTATGTAGTAATATCCGCGTAGAGAATCTTCCACCTCTTGGCTTCTAGCTACTACGGCTGAGATGCCCCGTGCGTAGTGTTGGTATTGGGAGTTCGCTTCGCTCCCTTTGACCTTTAAGCTTAGGTTCCCCAAGTCATATCATGCGATAAATCCCTTAGACTCAAAGCTAAGCATGTAAGTGCTGTATTAATATATTCTCCTCGCCTTCAGAGTCGTACTGTATGCTCTGCTAATGTAAAATAAGCAACCGTGCGTTGCATACTTAGTCGGATTCCGGAAAGCTCCCCTATTTCACTCTTCTATGAATAGCTTGATATGGCACTAAAGAAGCGTGAAAGAAGCGTTGTTATTTCAGTTTGGGACTTTAATCCGTAGCCATATATGGCATTTGTTAGGTAATTGATTTCCGGCCACGAGGAAACTATTGGTGATCAGACCCCAGAGAATGGTTAGACGGTAGATGAGTTGGTAGGTAACTCCAACATTTCGACATCCATGGGTATTTTAACATCCATGGTATTGATAACGTTAACCCATTCCGAAAGAGGTATCTGTGCCTGTCGATCCCTCTTAGGTTCCAGGTTGTTGCTTAAACTGATCTTAAAGATTGAACGCACAGCCCCTGTTGTGATCACATACATCATCATCATTATCATTAGTTATCATTATCATCATCATCATCATCATAGATTTCTCTTTAACGAGATGAAGAGGCCGAAAGTTGAACCAATATATCAGAATGAACTATTCGAATAATCATAGTTTCATCTCGTACAGGAAATTGTGCTTGGACCCATCAAGAAGCATTTCAGCTTCGGGAATTTTGCGATTTGACAGCTCTTAACAAAGCGCAAAGATTTAGCCTTATCGTTGTTTACCTGTGTGTGGCTGTGTAGATAATAGTTAACCTGATCTGTAACGAAGAGATTTCCGAGAAGGGTTCTCAAGCCGAAGAGATGGGACGATACTGTATGGCCAATACCTACCGTCACATCAGCCAAGGGTAGGTGTCAGGTAATGCTTGCGGCTCGTATTACCCCGTAGTGGATCACCCGTGGTCGGAATAGGAGAAACTACATACATAGACGAAGATGAATAACAGGTAGTTAACCTAGTTATTAACTAACTACATACACTAGAAACTCGGCTCTCGGTATGTAGCGACCGGCCAGGGGTTTTCCTTGTTTAGATAGTCGAGCTATCTCGGAATCTCGGCGGCCATTATCATATAGAGATCTTGGAGAAAGGGATAACAGTCCAGCTGGTTTAGGTAGATTCGGCCTTTACAACTCCAACACAACATTAACTACTAACTACTATAAACTACTATGTAGGTACCAGTTAATCACGCAGAGAAAAGCAGACAAAAGCCGACAAGAAAGAAAATGGTGAGACTTTGGGCTTAAAGCTGGCGGGTGTCAGAACTTGTTACTGGCTGGAGAATGAAACATAAAGCAACATCCCCTAACGGGGTACAGAGAGCTAAACTACAAAAGGGTTAAAGGTGTTGGTTCTCGCTTCTTAGGGAGATGCCAAGATTTTAGATTTAACCCCTTGCTAACCTGTTCTGTCATTGCCCTGCCTTGTCAAACCATGAAGCTAAAGCTTAGTTGACTTGTCATCCATGGATATGCACGCCCGGTTGCTCTAGTCGTAAAAAATGGCCCGAACTTCTCGTAGTTAGGGTCTTATTTCGTACTATTATTTTTTTTTGTTTTCGATCCGGAAGACTTTAACGAGTCTAGCCCTCGGTATTATTTTACATGGTGTTTTCCGTGTTATCCGATTTCTATTTCGGTTTCGATAGCATGATCGAGTATGTTCTTCTATGATGACGCTAAGTTTGTTAAGAGGTAGAAATTATGAATTATAGAGGCTCATTACAGCAGTACGACGTCACATTCATGCAGCGTTAAGAGAACGAAAACTATATTTGATAGTAAAGGTAAGGCTTGATGAGGCGAATGTAGATCTCTCATTACATAGAAGTGACTGATGGATTGTCATAGGGTAGAAAAAGACCGATCGTTGCAGGGACTAAAAACAGATCTGAGCGTCCGATAAAAACCCATCCTGTGCATAATCGAATCGGTGGTCGTCCACGTTGCCACCCATGGCCTTGGTCTTGGCTCAGTTTACAGTTTACAGATGCAAGTCTTGTACCTGCATTAGGGCCAGCTCTTCAGGTTAGAGGCAAAGTGGCTGTGTCCGTTTCAGTTGAACAAAACCGCCATCTCTCTCTCTTCTAGTAAGGGGCTTGAGGTCTCTTCAAGTTCTGAGCCAAGCTTGTTTTGTTTTTGGCAAGTATCTAGGTTAATGTCATGCATCTATGCAATCTAAGAACCTGCAGTATCTGATCATGGTGTACCAGGGCTATACTGATTTCTGCCTTGATATATGTGGTAGAGGGCGTCGTCGTTACACGACAGCCATCCTCTTTTCACCATCTTTAGAATCAACTGCCAAACCTGTGTCAGCCAGTTTATTTCTGGCCGCTTACTCAAACAAACGCTTACGGCACTCGCTACCTGTTTATTGTAGCAATCGGGTAGAGAGGGGTAGCCATCTGGATGTGATTTACAAAACCAAAAGGTGTGAATGCTATGGCGGTTTCTTGGCCAGATCCGTCATAAACAGGGGCTGCTATTGGCCAAAAGGGACATGTCGGGGTCGACTTGACTGGCCACGAACAACGGATAGATTGTAAGTGATCCTTGATAACCCCCTGAAAATACCACACCAGGATCTAAGACACCCCGGCTTGCAACCGCGCGCTCTGTGCCCTCTCAACTCGGTCGAACTGGGGTGGAGTTCCAAGACATTTTCAACTTCACGCGGGACCCTAGCGTAAGTCTATTCGACATTTCGACCTCTATGGGAGCTATGCCATGCCGCTTTGGGCAATCTTCCTCCTAGTTGAAGACCACCCTGTGGGCTAGGTCTTGCTTGATCCTGGAACAGGGGACGAGAGCCTACAGGCCTGAGAATGGGTGCTTGGAATAATCTGGCCAATCCTAGATCCCGGTCAAGCAGGGTTGGACCTCTATCCGCACGACTCTGTTAACCTCCTCTCCAAACGAATGGCTCACGGCTGCCCATTAAGATCTGGTATATATGGTGGTGAATCTCTTCACCATCTATCTCCAGACAGACTCCTTCTCTATCACTACTTTCTTTTCCTTAAGGTAGACATCACTGTCGCTTCTTTCTTATTCGGAAGTCTAGGTCATTCGTTTTCCTACTTCCTCCCTTCGTTTCCTTGCTATATCCAGTAATTATAAGAAACTACATTTTCTACAAGAATTTCAACCACTACCTATCCAGGACAGTTAAATCAAAATGAAGTACTCCTTCACGCTTGTTGCCCTGGCTGCTGGCCTCAGCCAGGTCACGGCCACGGGCTTCGGATTTCACAATGCCCCCCAATTCACCTGCCCCGATAACACGAATAACGTGTGTATTCCCGACATTGTAAAGGGTATCGACTGGTCTGATCTCCCCTTCGGCGGATTCGATTCGTACAAAGGATTCAACTGGAGCGGCTTCACTTGCAGCGAGAAGTTTGGCAAGCGGGATCAGTTGACTGCCCGGACTTTCCAGAGCAAGTGTATTACCGGAACGGCTCAACAGGACAAGGGAAAGAGCCCTAAGATCAGCTGTGATAACAGCAAGGGTGTCACGAAGACCTCCATCAAGAAGTTCCAGGTTTCGCCTGAGTTCGACTGTGACTTGGAGTTCCACTACACCATGCCCGACGGATCTGCTTGCAAGCACCGATCTTCTTGCAAGGCTTCCGGTACCGTCGTCGAGAACACCCAGTGCGGTGGTGCTACCGACGTTACTGTCGTCTACCCTAAGCAGCCTTCTATTCCCAAGGAATCTTGCGACTTCGGCATCCACCACATCGACTTCGACTGCGAGGCCCCCAAGCCCTCTACGCCGACAAAGCCCGACACTCCCTCCAGCAGCTCTGCTGTCGTGAGCAGCAGCGCCTCATTCCCTGCTAGCAGCATCTCTACCAGCTCCGTTGCTGTAAGCAGCAGCGCCTCGTACCCCGCCAGCAGCGCGTTTGAGTCGTCGTCCGCCGTCGTCTCTAGCTCTGCTAGTGTCTCCGAGTCGACCAGCTCTTCGTCCGCTACCACTAGCCTTCCCATTGGTGTCTCGTCCACTGTCAGCATCCCCGTTGAAAGCGCCACCACTAGCCTTCCTATTGGTGTCTCGTCTACCGTCAGTGTCCCCGTCGAAAGCGCCAGCAGTTCGGTGGCTACCCTCTCTTACCCCGGTGCCGACAGCACTACCGCTTCTACTGAGGCTGCTAGCTCTACCACCGATGTCTCTTCTTTATCTGTTACCAGCTACTTGACTACTTCTACTGTTTTCACTACCTCAGTCCAGACCATCACTAGCTGTGGTCCTTCCGTTTCTAACTGCCCTGCTGGCTCGAACACAGTTGTCACCGTCACCCTCCCCCTCTCTACCACCATCAGCCCTGTTACCGAGACTATTGGTATCTCTATCCCGGCTGTCTCCATCCCGTCGGTCTCTCTGCCGTCGATCTCTATCCCGGCTATTTCTATCCCATCGGTTTCTCTCCCGGCTATTTCTATCCCGTCGGTCTCTATCCCCGCTACTAAGCTCACTGAGTCTGCTGCCAAGCCTACCGAGTCTTCCGTTGAGTCGACTCCTGTTGGCCCCTCTGGTACTTCCCCTGCTTCCAGCAGCAGCAGCACCCCTGCCGGCCCCGTTGAGACTCTCCCTTGCCCTAACGTTGTTCCTTCTTGCTTGAACACCTGGATGTTCAGCGTTGGCTGCAAGGACAACACCGACTCTGCCTGCTACTGCCCTGACGCCAGCTTCGTCAAGAACATCTTCACCTGCCTGTACGCCCACGGTGAGTCCGACGAGGTCATCTCTGAGGCTATCAGCTACTTCCAGGGTATCTGCGCTCCTTTCGTGCCCAGCAACCCCGGCATTGCCACTGGTGCTGAATCCATCACCACCATCCTCACTGCTACCCCTACTGCCCCTCCTGCTGCTGTCACCACCATCGAGGTTGCCACCACTGTTGTTGTTCCTTGCACCAACGAGGCTGGTGAGACCATCCCCAGCTCCAGCAGCACTGTGACCATCCACACCAGCTTGACCGTCCCCGGCATCGTCTTCAGCACTGCCACCAACGGTCCTAGCTCCACCGGTGTCGTTATCGTCCCTGGCACCTACGTCGCTACCGTCCCGGCTGCTACTCCTACCGCCGCGACTCCGGCCTCAACCCCGGCCCCGACTGGTGCTGCCCCTTACCCTACTATTGGTGGCTCCTCGACCCTGGTCACCGCTGCCCCCCCAGGCACCGGTGTCACCTACCCGACCTCGTCCCCGAGCAGCAGCACGGTGATCGTCACTGCCGGCGCTGCCCACGTCGGTGCTGGCATGGGCCTTCTCGGCTTCGCCGGTATGGTCGTCGCCGCCGCTCTATAAGGCGCGCAAGCAATACAATACTAGCAGTAGCCTCACCGTAGGCGAGTTTCTTTTTCTGTACAGTACAACATGACCACTGCCGTCACATAAGATTCTTACGATCCTTACGAACGAACTTGCATATTTTTGGGAACCTGGCAAAAAGATGGGTTTTCTTTTAATTTAAACTGATACGCCGTCACACCGTGGTGGTTCGGTGGAGTAGCTTCTCCCGTGTCTCGATGACGGCGAGTTGGGAGAGGTGGCACGGCTCGGGCGGGTGGAGTGTGTATAAAAGCACGGATGGACTTGTAGTAATAGTAATACCCCGATAAATTATAGCTGAGCTTGAACTTTACTATATATTTTCTTCAAAAATGGTTTGTTGATTGTGCTTGTTCATAAGGTGATCTGTTTGCTGCGTGTCTTAAGTAGCCCCTAGTTCTCGCTGTAGAGGGTGGATAGGGGGACAATGGCTCAAGTTTTTAATTTTCTTTTTAATTCTTTTTTAATTTTTTATAAAACTCGAAAAAAGACAATGAAAAGAACCGTAAGAGTTGTTTTGATAAAGATCTGAGTGTCCTCGAGTAATACGTTGGCATTCCTTGGATGGTCCTCTAGTAGTTGTTGAGTAGTGAAATTAGAGTGTAGTAATGTATTAACAAGTTATTTTAGCTTACATCTAATAGTCAATTTTGTGTGACTGAAGCCATAGTTCTTGCCATAGAAACTTTGTCTCGGAGGCTCCTCTAGAGGATGACACAGTTCACAATTTCAATGTATCGTTACCCGCTCCCGTCAATACGCATCGCACTTACCCGTAGAGCGCTGATGACAAACGGATTCCGGTAAGTGACACAAGTACCCAAGGTAAGTCCAACGCGCCTCCAACCCAACCTTATCGTCCACACCTGCCGCTAGGTCCTTCCTTCGTTGTAAAATGTACCTGTCTTCGAAGTACCTAATTTGCACCTGTAGATGTAAGCTGCCTGGCATTCAACAGTGGCAACACCACTATGTTTAATTATTACAGTGACTACGTGGATGCTGGTATGAACATCGTTCTTTCCCTCGTCTTCTGTTTTGTACCTACCTAGGTAGTCTACCTCGGGTACCTTCCCACTCTATAATTTACTGTTGATACTGAAAGTTTTCTGTTGACCATAACTTTAACGTAAATCGCCAGTTCGACAATCCTTCTTGACTAGATCCTTTTCTTTTGAAGCATCATTCATTCACCAACACATCGTCAACTCACATCTCTTTTTCAGAGCGTGTCTCTATACTACGCGCTGTGCCTATATCATCGGTATACGGCCTTACTATTAGTCGCCCCATTTGGACATATCGTATTAACAACGTGTCTATCATCGCAATTCGTTCAACTACCTCTTGACTGCCTATCTAGCCCGACAACCATGGATTCTTACAGAAGAGCCATTGTCAACCTCAGCGATGTGCAGCATCCCAACTACGGTCTCACCAAGCTGAACGACGCTTCCAAGTTCCTCTCAATGCTCCCTAAAGAAGTATGTCTAGTTTCTTTGTCTCGATCTATAACTATTACTAATAATATCGCTTACGTCTTCCAAAGGTCCGACTCATGATTTACGAATATACGGTATATGCTAGCCAAGAGATCAGACCATTGCAACTTGAGTCCCGCTCAAACAAGTTCATCTGTTATATACTTATGCCCAGTAGCAAAGATCGCCTATGCCGACATCAGCCGGCGGTTGTTTCGCTTGCTCGCGTATGCCGAGCCATATATGCCGAGCTTGAACACTTTCAGCCGTTCTACAAGGTCAACAAGTTCTATTTTACGAAATTGACCGATCTTCGTACATATCTTGCAGCTATTACACCGTCTCGTCGTCAAGCAATCCGTCGGGTCGATTTCAGGATAAATGATTGGTTTGACCACTGGCTTCTAGCTAAGCGAATATTTTCGGATAGCCCTACATACCCAGTAGACCACGGCACGTTGGTAATTCTCAGTCAAACCAACCTCGAAGAGTTTACCCTCATTGAAGAAATATCCGATCTACCTCCAGGTACAGTCGCCGCCGACGTGTTGCGCCAGAATCTCAAACAGACCTTAGAATATCCTGACGGATTGCACACCATGCGGAACCTGCCTTGCTTTCGACTAGGGTTCGTCCTTGAGTCTCCGGACGAGACTACTGATAAGTTGATAAAGGAAATCAACGAAGCATGTAAGCCAGCATCTAGTTTTAGCTCTTGTCCATCGCCTGGTTTTTCGTAGGAGAGTAGAGTAATATTTTCCAGAATGCGTTACCTTGCCAGACTCACTCTATCATATAAGCCATTGCTAACTACTGTACTTTATAGTGGAGACCCGCAGGCGACGCATTGGTACGGATATACCCGAATGGTTTAAGCAGTTGAATAACTTCAGATCGACAGAAAAAGCCCTACGCGAAGTTGGCGATCTCGATATTCTAGGCGAAGATCGAGTAGCTCTAGATAGAGCTGCTAGTTATTTTGGTAGCATCTCTTCTCGGACAAGGGGCAAATGCCGACTACCCAATTCAGAAGGCCAGATACTTAAGAATACACCAAGATACAGCGCAGATGGCATCTTGACTTCTTACATCTGCGGAATAGCCGATATTCGTTGGGATGGAACGGATGTGCAGTGCCAAGTGTCGCACAGGCACGGAGATAAGAGCTGGGAGGATGTTTCTGCTATCCTTATCCCTGACAACGTACGTGCCATTATATCGTTCTACAATCATATGATAGAGAAAAAAGACTCTAGTCACTTGGATGAGATTAAGAGCAAGCCGACCTTGCGCGATATCCTCAAGATTCAAGGGGGCTTTCACTTTATTCAGCATACTGGGGCAGAGGGTTATAGAAAAAAAGCACTGTCTTATATGAGAGAAGATTGGTTGGCATCTGCAGACCGATGGGACACTTACATAGCCGAATTGGAAACGGCGAAAACTTTGGGGGGGCAGAGAGAAGAAGCAACCCGGAAAGCCAAAAGAAGAGCCCGAAGAAGAAGCTGATATAGTAAGAGAATATTGGAGGGGCCTACGCATAGTAGGAGACGACTTAATTTGGAGAGCAACGACATCACGATGTTCGCAGGGCCTATGACGCACGATATGATGGAGATAGGAAGATGTGGCCTGGTGATGCTATCATAACTCAGTTGTCATCATCGGCGAGTTCCTATTGCAGAAGTAAAACTTCAAGGAAGGGGGTAGTTAGGTGTTTTTTCGACACTCAGACTTTATTGTTGACTCTTTTTTATTATAGTTGCTTGTACTCTAGTTGAAGACCACTGTTTAGGTGAACATTTCGGAAGATACGAATGATAAATCAGCTGCCTTTGTGAAATATATCACCGAGGTATGCTAAGTCCAGACATAATTGCTGGTATGAAAAGTATGAATTATAATACTGCTCCTACATAGTGACTAGTCTTGCCCCATTACATATTACCAACAGTCAAACAGAACTAGCTTTTATGTCCTTTTTATAGGTCACTTATGATTATGGGTTATTATACATTATTTAAAGTTGTGATGACAATTCTTGACCTCGTCCACATAGACTATATTGTAGATCTCCCTAACTTCTCCCGAACGGCTGGCAAAATATTATATTAAGTTATGGATATTTGTCTAAATTAAAAAGATGAAACCTCACTCTTATCCCATGATGATGATATTAGTCACCCTCGAAGATCTCCGCCCATATTCTCGCAATACTCAGCCGCAGTTCTCCTTGCACCGGCTCGGGATCTTTGTCCGGAACCCCTTAATCCGCCGCGGTAACTGCGAGGCGTCGATATCGGGCCTGAATTTAAGCGCCCAATGGTCGCGGGTTACCTAGTAGGTTTGTTAGCATTATTTTCTACAGTTGGTTGTGTCCTTCTATTTCCCTCCTTTTTAACCATTTTACCCCTTTTTCTCTTCACAAGAGTGCTAGGTATACGTAAGAGAAAGGGGGAAAGAAAGGAGAAGGTAAGGGAAGAGGAAGTAGATGTAGATGTATGACGAAGGGGGAAAAAAACACTCATACACAGCCCTTCCTCCTCTGTACTCCCACCACATTACCTCCCCATCCTCCCGACGAGTCCCGTTCCTGCGAGCCGTCGCTTTGCGGGCATCCGAACAGTTCCCGGAAGAACTGGCGCCAACCGTACGGGGCGTAGACCACATCGTCGCTTGTATCGTCGCTAGATTCGTGCACAGGGCTCCGGGTGTACTCGTACCCCGCGTAGAAGACGCGCTGGGAGCCGAGGATGTTGCCCATTTCGGTTGGGTGGATGGATGCTTCATGCCATTGATAGATAGATAGGCTATGCGATCTAGCGTTAGGAGGTGAGAAGATGGCATTGCTATTAAGTCTTTAGGGGAGAGAGAGGTCTTACGCTGAGCGTGTGTAACTAAGTTGGCCGACTGGCTGGGTCAACTAGCAGACGATATCGTCCTGCTCTAGGTCAAGATACTACTCCCGAAAACCCCAAAGCGCAGAATCTTCTCATGGTAGCGATCTCCCGCTTTATAAGCAGGTAGGTAGGTGAGCATGAACTCGCGTCTGTGCAAGCATGCAAGCGTGCAAACAGCCTAGCTACCTAACCTAGGTTAGGTAGTTAATTATGAGGCTAAAACATCGTTGCAGTGCTACTAACCACGATGTATCCGGATACGTGCTTGACAAGCGTTACTTCCCGGCGAACCACGAGAAGAGGAATCCCACAGAGGATACTTCGTGGTTGATTCCTGACGAGGACGGCGTACGCCCAGGTTATATGAGACAAGTCGCACTTTGGGCGAACAAGGTTACCTGTTGTGCTGCTGTGTATTACAATGGTCGGGTAATTAATGCTATGTCTCGGATCTATCTTGATAGTAATATCTTGACAGTAACTTGCGATGCTGAATGTATAATGGTGTGGTTATATTCATTCCTATACGATGCTTCGCAAGAAGGTATAGGTAGAGGAGCGCAGCTCTATGGTGAAGGATACACATAAAACGGGAGTAAGCTTAAGTATCGTGTAGCAAAGCAGCTAGACCACCAATCCACATTACCATCAGAGCCACTCGTTCATGCTACATAAAATAATACCAGCTCAATGCCTTAACATTATCCTATCCCCCAACCCTCCCCCCTCCTCTCCTCCTCCCCTCATTTCGATGCATTATCATGGTTAGTACAAGCGTAGTTCCGTAAAATACATAAGTCGCCACTTAATCGTTGATACATTAACAATGCTGCCTGTAACTCCCCCCTCCCCCCTCCCCCCTTCCCCCCCATCCTCCCATGCTTCACAAAAAGCCCTTCGTTAGGCTTGGCTTCCGTCCGATACTAGTTGTCCGCTTCGGCACCTCGATACCGGTTCCGCCAAGGCTGGCCGTCTCGTCCGCGTCGCCACCGGTTCCGGTTCCGTTTCGCCACGCGCTGAGCCGCCGCGTCCCTTCTAGGCCAGGCGTACTAAGCCGTACGCTGCCGTTAACGCTTCCCTTTTCCATTCGTAGATGTTTCCATCCTTCTAACTCACGTTCTAACCGTAGAGTCTTCTCCTTCTCCTCTCTTAGTTCCCGTTCAGCCCGACGGGCCGACAGCTGAATATCGCTCTCACTAGCCTGGAGCTCATCGACTGTTACGAGAAGCTTCTCTACCCTGTCGCGTAGTCGCGACACGTCGTCATTGAGCTGCACAGCTTGTTTGTCCTTGCGCTCTATCTGAGATTGTAGATCCTTTACTATTCGATCTACGTTGCGGACGGAACGTTGCGATTTCGACCGCTCGTTCTCTTGAGTCTCGAGCTGCGATTCGAGCTATCATGTTGGTGGAATATTAGCGGTACGCCTCGTAAGCTTGCGGAATAAAGAGGATAGGGGTCTTGTTGTTGGAGATTGTGATACTATCATGTTGCTAGGAGGTTCATGTTCAGGGTCTGGCGTTGTACTAACCTCCTGGATACGCTTGTGCAAAAACTTGATATCCTGGCTGCCGGTTGAATATCCCTTAGTTTCCAGATCGACAAGTCGTACTTGCACCTCGTTGAGGCTCTTTTCGAGGGCTGCCTTTTGTTTAGATAGGTCGGCGCTGAGCTCACGTTCGGCCGCAATTTCTTTTTGCACTTCGGTGGCGAGGGATTCAGCTCGCCGCATCTTCTCTACCGCAGCAGCAGCAATGTCTTCCTGTTGGGCTAGGCTAGATTTTAGTTCCAGAATTTCCTTGTCTGTATTAGCAGCATTACGCATCGCTGGACTCTCGCTATTAGCCAAATCTTCAAGATTAGCCTTAGCTTCTTTAAGTCTCGCTTCGATACTGGATTTCTCTCTCATTAGAGTATCGCGCTCGGCGGTTATGTCGTCTACTGAGCTTCGAAGGGTTCGGACTTGAGAAAGGAGTGAAACAACTTTGCTCTGGGCTTCGTTATGGGCGCTGACGGCTTCGTCACGTGATGAAACAACGTCGGCAAGTGTGCTTTCAAGGCGTGCCTTTTCTTTTGACCACGTCGTACTGTTCAGTACTTCGTCATCCCACTTGGAGCGGAGATCGTCAAGTTCTTCGCGTAATCGAATGATTTCGGACTGCTTGAAGAGTTTCTCTTCCCGTGCTATGTCAAGTTCTTTAGTAAGAGTAGCAAATTCTGCTTGGTACTTCTTGCGAGTTTGCTCCATCTGTGACTCCTTGTCCTCAAGGTCAATAGCTCTCTGGCTTCTATAGTCTTCCAGTTCGTGCTGGAGACGCTTCTTTGATTGCAAAGCAGCCTCGAGGTCTGTAGACAGATCCTCTAGCTTCTCCTCAAGACGCTGGTTCTGGCGCAGTACATCCTCCATGCTTCCATCTGATTTGTTTCGCTGAGACATGATCTCAGCATAGGCCTCCTCTGCTTCTTTAGCCTGAGATTTAGCAAACTGCTCTGCCCGCGTCGCCTTCAGAACAGCGATCTCAGCCTGCTCCAGCTTGCTGAAGTATTCGTCGGCACGACTCTTATACATCTCGAGGCTCGAAGTCACATCTGCTAACTGGGAGCTTTCAGCATCAAGGCGAATCTGTAGATCGGTAAATTCTTGGAGTAGTTGGCTGCGGTTAGAGGCCTCCTGTTCTCGAGCAACAGCCATTTCTTGTAGATCTGACTTCGTGTCTCGAAGCTCAACTTCTAGCCTTGCACGTTCGTGCCTCATTTTCTCGAAATGCTCTTTGACATCAGCTAGTTCGGTAATAGCATCGTTATGATTGTGGAGAAGTGCACGCCTAGAGTCTTCTTGACTATTGAGTAGGTCGAGAATTTCTTCGTGAGATTTGGTCTGGAGGTCTCGCACGGACAACTCGCCAGTCCTAATCGACTTCTCCAACTGGGAAACCTTCTTGGCAGAGTCGTCGAGCATATCATGCAGTCGGTTATTGGCTTTCTCCAGCTTCTTCATTCGGCGAACTGAGGGGCTATCATCAAGGTTCTTTTCTGGTGTAGGCGTGACACGATCAAGCTGGCTTTGGAGGTGACGGTTTTGCATCTGTGATATTTGAAGTTGATTCTGCAACTCTTCAACCTCGGTCTTCAGATCTTGCCTATTGTTGAAGCTGAGAATATCGGCGGTGCGGTCTGATCTACCAGAGTCCGGAATCACATCGTTCTCGTTGCCAACGCGGCGAGTAGGCGTGGAAAGAACCGAGTTACGCCTTCCGTTCAGCTTACCTCGTTTCTGCGTAGGAGAGCCGTTGAAAGGTGCCTCGTTAGGGTGCATCTCCTCTAGTTTAGGTCGTACTGGTGACTCTGCTCGGTTTGCGCGTAACTCAGTCAACTGTGCGTCCGCATTTGTGCGTGCCGCGGTTTGTATACGGAGGTTTTGTTGCAATTCTTCAATCTTCCTAAGCATATCAAAGTTTTGGCTCATGATTTTATCATGACTTCCATCACCCTGGGCTGGAATTGAGACTTCTGGGTCAACTGCTTTCAAAATTCGTAGCATCTGTGCACGAAGTTCTTCTAATTCCTTATCCCGGGAGTCAAGGGTTGTTTGCATAGCGCGCACAGTAGTCTGAGCCTGAGTCCGCAGCTGACGCTCGGATTCTATTGTTCGATTTGCCTCGGCAAGCTGAATCGTATAGTTGGATGAAGCTTTCTCAGCATTGCGGCTGGACTTGACTTCGCGTGCAACTTCGTGGTTGAGATCCTCCACGTTAAGTTGCAACTTCTCAACTCTCTTCTCGAGGCCAGCTATAGTCAATGATGCGTCTCCGAGTTGTTTGTTAAGTACCGCATTCTGCTCCTCCATCCTTGCCTTTTCACGCTGCAGGCTTATAACCTGTCCCCTCGAGGCTTCATTGGCCCTCGAGGCGGATCGCGCGATTTCAAGGCCCTTTTGCTGCAGCTTGTTGAGCAGAGCGCGATTGTCGTTCTCGGAGGCAGCTAGACGACCTTTCACTGTGACCAGCTCACGTTCTAAGCGTTCCTTGGCCTGGTCATTCTTGAGACCGTATTCTCCGGATGAGATCATAAACTTATTGAGATCTTCTATTTCGTGATTTAACTTTTCACATTCGCCTTCGAACCATGTAAGCCGCTCTTGTGTCGCATCAAGATCTTTCTGTAGACTAGCCTCTCGCTCCCGGGCTACACGAGTGGCATTGCGTTCACCTGCCTCTTCCGCGTTTAGTCGTGCTTCTTCTGCTTGAGTCTTCGCTATTCGTAACCGCCGAATCTCATCGCGTGCATCATCGCGTTCCTTTTCAGCAGTTGCTCGGGCTTCCATGGTTCGCCGTAGAGTGTCTTGCTGAAGATAGAGCTCCTTCTCGATCGTTATTTTCGATTCCTTGAGTCGATCATGTTCTTCTTGTAAGGCCTGGTATTTATGCTCAGAAAGGAGGGCTACGTCATCTCGTGATTGGCGTTCCCGACTTAAATCCATCTGCACTTTGTATAGCTCATTCTTTAGGTCTTTGATCTGTGACTCTAAGACTTCTCGATTCTGGTTCGCTTGTGCATCTTCGGAGAGCCTTGCTTGAAGTAATTGTTTCGCATCTTCTGCTTCACGTTGGAGCTGCGAATGCTGAGATTTCATAGCAACCATTTCAGCCTGAACCTCACGTAGACGGTCGGCCATCTTCTCTTTCTCGGAGCCCAGTGTCTTCCTCTGCTCATCGAAATTACGTTGCTCCATCTGAAACTTCTTGTTATCTGAACGAAGAATAGTAAGCTCGCTTTCCTTCTTCCTCACGAGCTCTTCGTAATCTGTCGATGTCTTCGATAATTCAGATAGCTGTTGCTGCGCTTCACGATTTTCCTTTGTTAG